GATATATATCGTACCGGTGATTCAACAGTAAAAAAAAAACCCTATCGGTAGACAGTTTTCAGTGATATGAAACGATTAAATCACGATTTCGGTTACTTTACTGACACAACCTCCAATACGGTATCGCAATCCTCGATCAAAAGTCGAATTGAAACCCCCCAATCGCATTAATTACTTGGCCATGATTGTTGTCAACATGGGACCTATGTGCATCCTGCAAATACAGTTCATGATATACGACCTTTGATTTATAACCAATGTCACCATCTCCCATCACCACAGCCCAATGCAACATGGCAGGGAGTAAATTTACCCCTCTGATGGCTACAGAAAATTGACCTCCATGCTCCTCACTGCCCCACAAAAAACCAATCCCAGCTTTGGTTGCTACATAGGCGGGGATAATTACGTGTTTATGCCTCTTCAATCCTCCGATCAACAATCGGATGTGTGCTGCACGAAAATACTCTGCATATTTTTCTTATGTTCCGTATGCACCATGATCGTCAGACCACAAATCGAACGATTGAGTAGGTGCAAGCTCGATACTTAAATATGTACCCTAGCCTAATAAGAGGATAGCCAAACAGATTTCTGGTCTTCTGGGTTTCTATTTCTGCAATTACTTTACCTTCAAACAAAGAGAAGAACATAAAGATCAAAAGAATACCCTGTACTGGATGGTGATAATGATAGCATTTTAGGGCTAAGCCCAAAAGTAAAATTCTCCAAGTTCAGTGACCCATAGAACCAAAAGAAGAAACACTATGGGATAATGGAGACAATGACAGAAGAAAGTGTGCCTCATATAGGTATATTTGTCTCATTACAGCCTAAATATGACCATTCCAAGGCTACAGTAAACAGTAACAACTTGAGCAACATTGTTAACTATACAAAAAAGGGTTAAAGACACATTTGGTCACTGAGATTACAAAATCGGGACATGTTTAGTCACTAGAAAAAATTAATATCAAATTTGGTCACTACAATTACTAAAACTGGACGCATTTAGTCACTCGCCGTTAGTCTCCGTCCAACTCCGTTAATGAAGTCCGTTAAGTGCTGATGTGGCAAACAGAATTGCCTAATCAGCCGGATATAACCCAACAAAAATAAAATCCGACCCGCCACGTCATTATAACCCGCCACCTCATTAAAACCAACCCAACCCAACCCAACCCATGACCCAACCCTACCCAACCCTTCTTCCTCCTTCCTCCCCAACCCAATTTAGGGTTTTCCCATCCCATAATGGCGGAGAGATCTTCTCCGGCCTCCTTCTCCGACTTGACACCAGGAGCGGCAACCCATGGCGAGCGGGGCAGTAGTCCGGATCAATTCCCTGTCTCTCGCCGGCGATGGAACAGTAGGAGAGGTATTCTTCTTGTCCTCTTTCTCCCCTGTTTTTAACGACCTAAACAGAGAAGCCCAGAATTTGACGAAGTGGTGGAAACCCATCCCGTCGGTGGCCACGTGGGCGAACTGGCAGCCGATGCAGACGCGGGGGAGATTAGGTGAAGTAAGCAAGGCAAAACAAGCCGCCACAGGCGCTCATTATCAACCCGGGATGCTTGTAATTTGGATTCGGCTTCCTAATACCCAGGTCTACCGGAAAATCTCGACAGGGGATTTCAACTTGGAGAGAATCATATGAGAGGGAACAGTAAAGGAATGGGTCCGCAGGCTTAAGCTTGAGCTTGACAATAATTTTAGTGTCGTCGCGGCGGTGGTCGTTCTCGACCAAGAATAGGGTTTTGTCAAGGAATTTGGGGTCAGAGAGGAGAGAGTACCATGATTTGCAGACGCATCAAGGAATTTGGGGTCAGATGGGGAGCCTCACCAAAATTTCGCTCATCAGGTCCTCCGGGAAGAGTCTTCCTTCCATAGTATCTGCCGCAGCAAATTCTAACAGTCAGTAGGTGGCAGAAATTTCGCTCAGTCAGTAGGCGGCGCGGGGGAGATTAGGTGGCCGGCGAGAGGGAAGAAGTGGTGGAGGGCGGCGGAGAGGGAGGTCTTGAGGTGAGGGAGGATGGTTTGGGTGAATTGAAGAGTTGAGAGAGGGACCGCCATTGAAGAGTATAGTTTCGTTCACGCTCCTGGTGCCATTGAAGAGGGACCGGACTACTGCCCCGCTCGCCATGGGCTGCCGCTCCTGGTGCCAAGTCGGAGAAGGAGGCCGGAGAAATCTCTCCGCCATTATGGGATGGGGAAAACCCTAAATTGGGTTGGGGAGGAAGGAGGAAGAAGGGTTGGGTAGGGTTGGGTCATGGGTTGGGTTGGGTTGGGTTGGTTTTAATGAGGTGGTGGGTTATAATGACGTGGCGGGTCGGGTTTTATTTTTGTTGGGTTATATCCGGCTGATTAGGCAATTCTGTTTGCCACATCAGCACTTAACGGACTTCATTAACGGAGTTGGACGGAGACTAACGGCGAGTGACTAAATGCGTCCAGTTTTAGTAATTGTAGTGACCAAATTTGATATTAATTTTTTCTAGTGACTAAACATGTCCTGATTTTGTAATCTCAGTGACCAAATGTGTCTTTAACCCATACAAAAAAGTAAAGGAATTGAGGAACATGGAACAATGCAGTAAAAGAAAAAGGAATCCAGGAAAAAAAAATTACTACAAACTATGAGTTAATAAGAGTAAGGTATGGTCATAACCTTTTGAAAATGTGTGGGGATGCAAGCAGAGAAAAAGTATGGGGCTTTATTAGGGCGATTTTGAAGGCTGGGTGGCCTTTTTAGGGCTCTTGGGGTATGATGCTTCCCACTTTCTCCAGCAGACAGACAGTAGCACCTGGGTTCTCTCTTCTTTCCACAACACTACTAGCTCTGCAACCAATTGTACATAATATAAACAAATAAAACTTCGGCAACAAGATTCGAGAACTAATACTGGTTGCGTCGATAAAATCGTAATCAAACTGGTTCTAACGCTAAATTCACCCGACTAACATCACGAATCCGAGTTCAGCACATTTTTCACTCACTCACTCACTCACTCCTTTAAATATGAACAAGAATGTTACTGGCAGGAGCAGGAAGGAATATAGAGAAATAAGGGTATGTGGTGAGTGGGAGAGGGCATGCTTGGCTCTTGGTTAAAGTTTGGGTCTACAGAGAATGGATTCCAAGTTTCCAACCCCACCAAGAAAAAGGCTGCCACCATTGCCATGCTTTTCTTGAAATTCAGAAAACCCAGTAAAGAATAGGAAACAATACTATAAAAGAGATTCATTCCTGAAAGTGATCAACACTAATAAAGTAATAATACATCAGAAACCCTTTTTTTCTTATAACTAATCCTGGAAATTGGATTGTGACACTGTGTCTACATTACATTACAATAATCCACCCCAATGGCTACCAGCTGCCAGGCTGCAGAAATAGTTGGGAGAGGCATTGATGAAGGAAGGTAAAGGAAAGAAAGTGCCCCCATTTTCCCACTTTCTACCACCACCAGACAGCCACCAACCACAGCTCAGTCAGTTTGTTACATTCCCAGAAATGGGGTTTTTCTCAAAGTGGGTATGAAATGAGACATACCCTTTTAAAGTTTTAATCACTGCTTGTTTTCATGCCCACTTGAACTTCATGGTTGCTGGTGGAGATGGAGATGGAGATGGTTCATCTGATACAGATGTATGTATATCAAAGTTATGGAGTCTAGCTATGTTGGGAATAAGGTTTCCTTCCTCTGCTGCAAATTTCCCTTTCAACTATCTATCTGAACCAAAAGCTGGAACAAAGAAAAAGAGGAAAACCTATCAATGGTGGCCTGAGTTAAGTGGTGTTGCTATTTTCAAGAGAAAAGCTAACAAGATTTTGGGGGAAACCTTCTGAAACAAGGGATGCCTATTTAGAGTAACTTCTACTGTTGGTTTCATTCAATATTACCTTAGAAATGGGTCACACTTTTTCTGGTTAACTGAAAGTGGTGTTCTTTGAATTGTACATCATACCGAAAATTGCTGCTGCTGTAGGAAAATCAATCCCACTGTGACGCTGAAAGGTAGCTTGTTTCAGCACATGCTGGTGCCTTTCTTGTAGTCTTAGTTATTGTGGATCACGCGTTGTTTCTTAAAATGTCGCTGCAATGATTCAACAATGTCAACATGCTTTGATGACGCTGATAGAGATTAAGCGTCACATTTTGAAGATATGATACTTATCTAATATCTTCTCAATTAATTAAGAATATGCGCAATCACAGGCTATAACAATGTCTAAAAGTAGTTCTGTCTCTGGAGATTCCTATAATACAAAAGCAAAGTGAACTAGAATTGGATCCTCCATCCTCCACCACCACTATCAGCATCTATCTTAGGAATGGCAATGGGGCAGGTCCGGAGCGGGTCTGGGTACAGGTCGGGTCCAAATAGGGTAATTTATCACGGGTCGGGGCAGGTCGACCCAAAAGGTATACAATTTATATGAAAAACATTAGAAATAAATGTTATTTTTATTATAAAACCAAGGAAACAAACAATATTATGATAAATGTAGTTAAATTATTGAAGAAATTGAGATTTTCACTAATTTACAACTTTATTATAGATAAAATTTGATGTAATAAAAGGAAAATCCTAAGTAATTTGACTAAGATTACTTGTAATTTAGACAAGAACGGATCGAGAATGGGGGGTCAGGGTAGGTCGGGTCGATGAGAGTACCCATGCCCGCCCCATCCCGCCATCAGACCCACCCCAAAATAGGCCAAACAGATCGAGTAAAACGGATCAGGTCCAAATTGTCATCCCTAATCTATCCGCTCAGCTCACCTTCCTTCAAAACAAAATGCTAAAATATCTGATAAATAATTTAGGTGCTCGATGGGCTGAAAGGCCCGCTCGGCCCATACCAACTAACGTCCGCCATTTCTTTCATCTAGGCCCAATACAGCATCTAACCATTCCATCCCCGGCCCAAATTGGCCCATCATCACAACGAGAAGTCAGCAACCGCACCAACTCCCATCACCTAATCCACAAATGACAAACCCTCACCGTTAAACTATAGTCATCTAATCGCTTCCCTTTTCCAGTACTCCACCAACAGAAACCAAGAAAAGGATCAAATGCGTCATTTTCCCGGGAAACGAACAACAGGTTCTGGAAAAATAGCGAAGCTCGATGCTGGTGAACCGCCGAACCACAGCTTGCTGCAAGCAATCCAAAATCGCCACCAAATCTTCCACTCCCCTGAGAAATGGCGCTTCGGATGTGTCCTCACGGCTACCGCCAGCCGCAGCCGCTAATCTCCGCCGTTAGTTTCACCAAATCGGCCTCTCGGAGCTTCAGATTCTCGGTCCGGAGCAGTATTCCCGAATCCGGTCAATCGAGAAAGGTTACGCCATTAAACTACTAGCTCTTCGACTTTCTCCTCAGTTTCTCTGAAGGCAGGGGGGCGACTCGTTTAGGTTTGTTAAAAAAAAAAAAATTATGCTGCAGCTTGTCTTAGAAGTTAAAGAGAAGCTCGCGAAGGATTACCGGAGCCTCCCCCTCGGAAAATATGGAAGAGACGATGAGGAGATGATTCTCTGGTTTCTGAAGGATCGGAGGTTCTCCGTCGATGAAGCCGTTGGGAAATTGACCAAAGCAATTGTATCCTTCTCTCTGTTAAAACTACTGCTGCATTGAATCTTGAAGTTTCGGTATCCCGATTGAGATTGCGAATATAGATGGCCGTTTGGCTATTTAGGGGTCTCGAGCTTTTCCTTTCTACAGCTTTGATTAGAAATGGAGGCAAAATTTTGGGATGTCTGAGTTGACCGAGGAGAAAGTGAAACGTGTAGCAGAAACGGGGAAATCTTATGTGCATGACTCTTTTGATGTCAATGGCAGGCCTGTGCTTCTAGTTGTGGCTTCTAATCACTTCCCTGGTGTAAGTCCTGCAACTTGAACTATCCCATTTTTCTGTTGAGATTGTTGCATTATCAATGAGGAAACCCCTTGATGGTTGCCGGTTGGGAATCTCAGTGATAATTGGTATCTTGATGTATTCTGCATCTCTTCCAGTTCCGGTCGACAGACTGGCTTGTTTATGTTCTTTTTATCATAAGCTTTTCGGTTACCTGTTTCCCTGCTTGACTGGCTTGTTTTAGTTACTTTCATTCGGCCCGTGTTCTGTTGGCTGTAGCTTAGGTTCTTGTAATCGTTAATCGTTGACAAAATGACCGATGACACAGGTGCATGATCCTGAAGACGATCAGAAGTTGTGTGCTTTCTTGATTGAGAAGGCACTGAGGATGCTATCACCAGGCAAAGATGACATACTGGGAATTGTAGACCTCAGAAACTTCGGTCCTGCAAATGCAGATTTGAAGTTCCTAACTTTTCTGGTAAGTTTCGTGAATAAGCCTCGGTTGACAATCGGGGGAAAAGAAATTCAATTCTGCTGGTGTAGATCCTTGAAAATGGGAAGAACGATCCGATTGTTGTCATGGTAGCTTTATTTCTCATCAAATAAACCTCAGGAACCTTCACTGGGGATAATTAGATTTCAGTGATGAACATCATTAAACTGAAAAGCATGCTGTCTTCTATCAATGAAGGCAATTCTTTGTTGACACTCCTACTGTCTTTTCATTTCTGCAGTTTGATGTGTTCTACTACTACTATCCAAAGCGGCTTGGTGAAGTCCTCTTCGTTGAAGCTCCCTTTGTGTTTCAGCCAGTTTGGCAGCTGGCGAAGCCACTGCTAAAATCTTATGCTTCACTGGTATGACTCAAATCTCAATGCTTCAAACCAGAATGCTAGATTTCAAAAAACTTACAAAACCAGTTTGCTGATTATGCATAAAGAAAATGCATGTTTATGATCCGTCTTGTACTGCTCGATAGTTCATTTCTCCTGTTCGTTTTGGTGTTTGTGAAGGTGAGATTCTGCTCGGTAGAGACGGTGAGGAAGGAGTATTTCACAGAAGAAACTGTGCCGACCATCTTCAAAAATTAGAGTTGCATTGCTTACGTCTTTACCAACTACACTTAATTCCGGGGGTTGGTATTAGCTGTGAAAGGGTGAGACTTAGTTCAGCCAACAAGAGATCTTCAGAATCCGATTCAAAGGGTACTCGGAGTGGCGGATTTCTTGCCGATCGAAACTGTTCCGTTTCATGCTTCCAGCACTACACATGAAACGGTGAGTAGCGATAACTCGCATGGGATATCAGAGACTTATTCTAACGTACGTGAGTGTGTCGATTTCGGCTAAGAGATGGATTGAGTTAGAAGATATTGTATCCCCTTATTCTTCATGCATCAACCTTCTGTACAATGTCATTCTTGAATAAGAGTACGCTCCCGGTACAAAGGGTTCAGCTATGTGTCTAGACTGTCTTTATGTGTAGACTTTTACTTGCGGTGAATTTGTGTTAGCTAGATGAAACATTCGCACTACTCGAAATCAACAAGGGAACACTTGGCCCTCACCTTTTAATAATTTGTTGAAGACACTTTAGCATTTGGATTCTGGTTAGGTTTAGCATCACCTTTTACTTTGAGGATTGTTATTTGCGGTCGACGTCGAGTATTTACTATTTGTTGCCCATAATTTTAGTAAAAATATTGTTTTTTCCGTTCATTTTTTTCATAACACAAATCCTCACCGCTCATAATTTCCTTGTTTAATTTCTTGGGTGCAAAAACGGTTGAGTTGTGCCCACTATTTTCCCCCCTACTGGATTCAAGCCCACGTAACCAGAAAAATACGCATGTCCGTATGTATTTGGGCTGCTTAAGCCTCTTCTCTTTTTGTCAGCCGGCCCAATTTGTTTCCTAGTTTATAAGTTACCAGTATCTTCTCGTCTTCTCCACACTCCCGATACCCTTCCATCCTTCGCTTTGGGAAGGCAGAGAAAGTCGGTAAAGGAGAAATGGAGAATCCGAGACTGTCGATCGTATTAGCCTTGAGTTTACTCGCCTTGGTGGGTTTATCCGCCGCAATCGAGTCGCCCCAGTTCTCAGTAGTTCACAAGGAATCGGATTTCGAGATCAGACTGTACAGAAGATCGACATGGATGGCCGCCCAAATCAACGAGCTTTCATTCCAGAAGGCCACTTTGCTCGGCTTTCACAGGTACAAAACCCCCCACCCTGCCACCATTTTCTATCAAATCTACTCTTTGCTTTCCTCCACTGATCAAGAATTCGATAAAGAACTTTCCTTTCTGCAATATTGATCAAAACCCTTTTTTGTTCCATTGCTTCTGTACAAGTAATTTTAAAGCTCAATGTTCGATTCTTCCATATAGGCATGTCGTGATCTTGGGGTTTCAATCGATTGGAAGTAAAAGCACAGATGATGGGTTCTAACTCTTCTAATTAGTGAGTTCCATCAATCTTATATTCTGCAGGCTGTTCCAGTTCATTCAAGGTGCCAATCTGAACAATTCCAGGATTGCAATGACAGCACCAGTAGTAACCAGCATAGTTCCAGGGTCCGGTCCGTTCCACTCGTCCTCCTACTCGGTTCGATTCTACTTGCCGGTGAAGTTCCAGGATGATCCACCAACCCCTCTCCCTGAACTGAAGCTGGAGCATTATCGATGGGATGCTCATTGCGTCGCTGTGAGAGAGTTCTCTGGGTATGCGAAAGATGACAACGTAGTGAAAGAGGCTCAGAAGCTGGCCGTCAGCTTGAGCAGGTCTCCCTGGGCTCTTCCGAACGACGGAGCTACTGACTACGCCTACTCCATTGCACAGTATGACTCCCCGTTTCATTTCATTGGTCGGGTTAATGAAGTCTGGGCTGATGTGAAGAGTTCTGGTGATGGTGATGATGATGGCTGCAGTTCCAGTGCTATAGCAGCTTACTGAAGGAGGAATACTTTAGTTATGTTTTCCAAGTTACCTGGTTTGTTGTTCCATGTATGTACATGCTATATGTAGTAGTCTGACAACTGTGTCTCTGTCCGAGGCAATCTGACCCCGAGTCGAGAGAAGTCATGTGAATGCTGGATTGTCTGGAAAAAATCTCAAGTTACACATATTTTTAAAAAAAATTCTCAAAATACACAAGTTATGAAAATAATTTCCAATCTACGTTAGTTTGGGCCATCACCGCTGTCGACGAAGACAGTGATTGCATCACTGTTGTCGACGAAGACAGTGATTGCTGTTAGAGAGTGGTATAAGATCCAGCAGAACCTTCTCCCAACAACTCGAGTTATTGGGACCAACTGGTTCTTGACATGGTATCAGAGCCTAGAACCGAAAGGTAATGTGTTCGAATCTCCACGACCCCCAATATTAACCGTTGTCTTTCAAGCACATGGTATGGTGGGCCTGTGCAAACTTCAAGCCCATGGGTTGGCTTTCGTTTGAGGGGGCGTGTTAGAGAGTGGTATAAGATCCAGCAGAACCTTCTCCCAACAACTCGAGTTATTGGGACCAACTGGTTCTTGACAATTGCATCACCGCTGTCGACGAAGACAGTGATTGCATCACCGCTGTCGACGAAGACAGTGATTGCATCTCTGCAGTACACGGCCGCGGTGAAGGCCTGACCTGCGTCGAAACTTTAAACAAACGTAACTTTGTGCTCGGTTATCTGATCGTAGCGAAATTTTTTTTGATTCCGCATAATTTTCCGAGATCTTGCAAGCCGCAAATTGCCGTAGGTTGTTTGGTCCCACCTTCGTCTCGAAAATATGTCGTTTGCTACCCCGAACGAGCCTTTTTTCGATTTCGTCAACCTTTGAACGACCATAACTTTGTGCTCCACAATTCGAAAATCATGAATTTTTTTTTATTTCGCATAAATTTTTAAGGACTACAATATTTAGTAGGAGAGAATTTTCAAAAAATGAATTATTTATGGATATAAGGGGTTTTGGGAATAACTTTACCTTCCTTTTCAGGAATCCAAGTACATTCCGAAAATATGTCTATGATAAAAATTGTAGTCCTTAAAAATTTATGCGAAATCAAAAAAAAATTCATGATTTTCGGATTGTGGAGCACAAAGTTATGGTCGTTCAAAGTTTGACGAAATCGAAAAAAGGCTCGTTCGGGGTAGCAAACGACATATTTTCGAGACGAAGGTGGGACCAAACCACCTACGGCAATTTGCGGCTTGCAAGATCTCGAAAAATTATGCGGAATCAAAAAAAATTTCGCTACGATCGGATAACCGAGCACAAAGTTACGTTTGTTTAAAGTTTCGACGCAGGTCAGGCCTTCACCGCGGCCATGTACTGCAGAGATGCAATCACTGTCTTCGTCGACAGCGGTGATGCAATCACTGTCTTCGTCGACAGCGGTGATGCAATCACTGTCTTCGTCGACAACAGTGATGCAATCACTGTCTTCGTCGACAGCGGTGATGGCCCAAACTAACGTAGATTGGGAATTATTTTCATAACGTGTGTATTTTGAGAATTTTTTTTAAAAAAATGTGTAACTTGGGATTTTTTCCGGATTGTCTAAATGGATGGATTGTTACAAAATAAGTGACCTGTGAAGTAGATGGATTTCCAAGGAAGGGTGATTTGTGAAAGTATTATAGTTTGGACTGGTCTAAATGATAGGTAATGAGTGGATTGTTGAACAATCTCTCCTTTGAATCCATCATCGGAACAATGTCTCAAGACAATGTCAGGAATGCTGTTCAGCTGAGATCATCCTGACCATGTCCATCTTATTAGGTAAGGAAGCCATAAGCTTTGGCAAGAGCCAAGTACATGGTGGGAAGAGAGGAATTTCTCATTTTGCGTTTCAAAGTTGCGATCAAACATATACAAAATCCAAACAGCAAAATGTTGAGATCCTAATATAAAAGTTACAGAATGGTACATAGTTGAACACCTAGTGAGTTCAAAGCTCCAAGCTTTTTTTTGTGCTCTCTCTGTGACGAAGAGTAGTAATGAGGTTCGAGCTCCTTGAGACTAGCTACAGCCTCCTCTGCTATTCTGGCCAACATGCTTTCAGTCTTCTCTGCCTGTTGGTTGAATTCAGCTATTTTAGGTCCACGTTGTCGTTAAGAGATGTTAACCCAGAAAAGATAGCAGACCGTTTTAACTTGGATACTAATTTAAGTAGCAGATTGGCTGCATGAACCTGAATACAGAGAAGCATCATAATCAGTCCCGCAGCTTCTAGCTATGTTCAATACAAGAAGAACTGCTCAGCATTCAAGTATTCTCACAGCTCAAGCTCTGTCTCATGTAACAACCTATTACTGTTCTTCGTCCAGCATCACCGACACAAATGCAGCTGCATCGAAGGGCAATTTCCCAAATGTCGTATGGTATAGATATCTGTCAATCAGATGTCACAAGAAACTGTATAACTAAGAATCACATTGGAAGAAATATGGAAAGCGCACAGTGCAGGAAGCTACACAGTAAAGAGACAAAAAGGGACATAACAATAACAGGTAGCAAAAAAAAAAGTACCAATTACCTGGTATAGCAGTTAGATAATCATTCACAATGTACACTTGTGAAGCTGTTTCCATAAAATATAAGTCTTCTCATTAACTCGTACTCTATTCCTTGAGAAGCTTTGAACCTGATGAAACATGATCCAGATATAAAACAGTCATCTAAATGCAGACAATACAGAACAGGACTTGACAATTTTGGACTTTGTAACAAGTTAACTGACTATTGAAGTTTCTATAGTTTACTATTGAACCAAGCTTGCAGCCACACAAATCTCAAACATAAGCTAGTTTAGACAAGAATAGGCAAGAAGCTAGTGTAAACAGCTGTGCAATAGATACAACCAGATACCTGAACTTTTCCTGGCTGCAAGCATCTTCTTCTCCAAATTTTCTGCAGCTTTTGTCATTCCTTGATCATTGTAGGCCTGGATCATGGTAGCATAAGTAATGTAATCAGCCTTGCAGTTTTTCTCTTCCATAGCAGAGAACAACTCTTCCATCTTGTCCAGTTCTCCAGCACGACCATACGCACTGATGACACTATTAAAGAAAGGGGTATCGAGAAGTACATCAGAATTCTCCACCTGCCTCAAAATCGAATCAACCTTCATCATATCCCCAGCTTTGCTGTAAGCACTGACAAGAGAACAATAGGTGATACTGTTAGGCTTTACGCCTTGGTGCTTCATATTCTTGAAATATTGATCCATCTCATAAATATAACCACCCTTTCCATAAGTCTCAAGGATAACGTTATGTGTCACAATTGTTGGACTAAAGAACCTCTTCTTCATAAACTTCAAAACAGATATCATCTTCTTGTGCATCCCTGCTTTCCCATACGACCGGATCAATATATTAAACGTCTTGATGTCTGGATTTATACCCATTAACTGAAATTCATCGTACTTCTCCTGCATCTTCTCAATCTGGCCACTTCCACCATATGCCCCAACGACAGAATTTAAGGTGAAAACATCTGGAACCGAGCAGCCATTCTCAAGCATTTCCGCCAATGAATTCTCCATCTCAGCAAACATACCAGCCTTACCATACCCATCAACGATCGTATTAAACGTTACGGTGCTGGCTTCAATTCCCAAGTAAGACATCTCATCAAGAATTCTTCTAATCAGATCAAATCTGTGGACCTTAGTGCAACTATTTAACAGAACTGAGTAAGTATATACATCTGGTTTGCAGTCACAGACGGATTTCATCTCATCAATGATTGAAAATGCCTCTTGAAAACGGCCACTCTGGCCATATGCACTGACAAGACCTGTATAGACATCTATGGTAGGTTTCAGCCCATCACAGCGCATCATCTCAAACAGCAAGCTAGCCTGCTCTGGCTGCCGACATCTTCCCAGCATCATCATCAATCTAGAGTAGATTCGACTTCTGGGTTCGTACCATTGCTGCTTTCGCAGCAGCCCTAGAATCTACAAAGAATGAGCAGCGCCTTCATTTCTGAAGTCACCCAGAAAAAGCTACTGAAGGACTTGCTACCAGAAAGAAGAAGAAAAGAAATACAGACCAAAATGGAGATACTTTAAAAGGGCCAAAGAGCAGAGAACCTCAACTTACCTTAAGCGCAGACTCCCAGCTGTCGTCGCTAATTGCGTCGTCAAGAGCGTCCAAAACAGCCTTGGGCCAGAGTGTGTTGTGCTTGTTGGAGTTGGCCTTTTGCTCTATAGCTTTAATGGCGGCCTCGGTCCTCAGAATGTTGGATAAAGTCTTCTTGATTGGCTTCTGGAGCCCCGTACGAACCAATTGGGTGTTTCGTTTCGAGCATTGGACGGTGGTGATAAACGGGGTTCCAGAGTCAGCTCTCGCTTCCGTGAGGTTTCCCGTCGAAAGGGTGGCCGGTGGTGAGGAGACCCAGACTGACCAGCTGAAGCTGGCGGTGTTTAGCTGCATAGCGCCGGCTGCGAGGCGGCGAAGTCGTTTGCCTTTCTTTTCCTTCGCTTGCCGGAGGATGAAGGAAGTCGGACTCGTGCGGCGGAACCGTAGATTATGAAAAAGGCTGTTTGGGTTGCGGATCAAACGAACCGTTTTTATCTCCAGCTGCGGATCTGGCCCAAACCCTCACCCGGTCGAACCCGGCCGTAGTGAGAGTTGTTGAAATTTGAATGATGGATCCTTAAAATCAATGCAGTCAAAACGCGATTCTATGCAGAAGTATTTTGGTGATCAAACGACGTAAAAGTGTAAGTTTTTTAGCTTTAAAGCACATATTTTGACTCTATTGGTAAGAAAAAAGCGTTTTGATGACCTAGAAACAATTCTCAAAATGCTCGATTCTACCATTCAATCATGTCTTATTTTTCCCGCCAAGCAATTCCTCCTTCTGATACGTCATCCAAATCCAAACGATGCGATGTCTCAAGAAAATGATTATATGTTGCTGAGTTGAGATCATGTGGATCTCATTAGATAAGAAAGCCGTAAGCTTTGGCAAGAAGCATTTAGATGGTGGAAAGAGTGAGAATTTTTCATTGTGCATTGCCAAATGGTGATTACACATATACAGAATCTAAACAGCAAAATCTAGAGATCCTAGCATATAATAGTTTCAGCATGGTTACAGTAGTTTGAAGAGCTAGCTACCCTTAGTTTCAAGGCTCCAAGTTTTGATTTGTTCTCTGTGAGGAAGAGTAGTAATGAGATTCGAGCTCCTTGAGACTAGCAGCAGCCTCCTCTGCAATTCTGGCTAACATGTCATCAGTTTTCTCTGCCTGTTGGTTGAATTCAGCAATTCGTTGGTCGACGTGATCATTGAGAGATGCAAACCCAGAGAAAATGGCAGACTGTTTTAACTCGGATACTAACTTAAGTAGCGAATCGGCAGCCTGAACCTGTATTACAGAGAAGCAGGCATAATCAGCTGTCAACTGCCAACAAAGGAGTGCAGAAATCTGGAGAAAGTGAACTATCATAAATTCTATGGTTGAAAACCATTAACTGGAAATGGGATCGAATCGAGCGAAAAGTTCTAGGGGCTGCCGGGAGGAGCAAAATCACAAAAACTTCTACCTCAAACAAGCTCCATGGCCACAAATAGTAGAGTGCTAAACTTATAAAATCTCACAAACTTCTAGCTATGTTCAACACAAGGTGAACTGCTCAACATCCAAGTATGTAGCAGTCAGTCCCTTCTGCTCTTTCACCACAACCAGTGACAACCCTGAGAAGTGAAGTAAGAACCCTTTTCGAAGTGTCAAAAAGTTTCAACTAGTTCGAAATCCAACAGTTCCTGGAGCTGCTAGGGTTTGCCTCCTAATACCATTGAAATCCAGAAAAGGGTCACACAAACTACAGACCCCAACAATGTTCCTCTGCCAAAACCCCACAAATTTCATATATTGGTCTTGGAGTAGGCAATCTTACCATTCTGGAGGCACGCATTTCCATCATGAACGCTTCCTGCGTGTTCCTCACCGGCGGTTCATTGACCTACAATTCATAAGCAGCAACCGCGACATTGAGTTCAAAACAGTCAGCGGATCAGTAGATTTTCCAACCAGATGCAGAAGAATCTCGAATGAGAAACGAAGAAACCTACTCTCCAATTCGAATTAGAAGAAGGGGAGAACGAAAGTGGCAAACTTTATACCCTGGCAACGTTGACGAGGTGGGTGAAATTGTCGACGATGTTGGCAATATCGGTTTCCAACCTCTGCATCAACGCTTTCTGCTTCTGTGCCGCAGCTGCCGCGGCCGCAGCCGTCGGGCCGCTTCCCGCCCCTCCGGCGCCGCCTGCTCCTCCCTTATTCATTCTTCAGTGATTGCCAATCGGCGGAGGGGGATAGAAGCGTGGAGCCGGCGGTTCGTATGCCGAAACTGGGAGGTTGAGCTGAAATGGGGATTTGGGACGGGCGAGAAGATTGTGTGAGAATGTAGCTGGTGATTATTCGGCCGATGCGTGAAGATTTGGGTCTAATGCCGCCGCCGATGCGTTTGAAGGGTGTTCGAGGAAGGAGAAGAGACTGCAATCTGCTGGCGAGGCGAGAAGGAAAGGGATGGGTGGGATTTATTTGGAAGGGGTAAAAGAAAAGGGACCAAAAACAAAGGAAAATGAGGACCATATTTGCTAGATTTTATCTGGCCCAATTTCTTCGTATTAATCAAATCGAAATATATTTATTTCGACTCAATTCGATGCAAATATCAATTCAGTATGATTCAATCCCGTATGAACTGGATCGTTACTTAGCCTTATACGTAGCAAGATTGTCAAACTAATTATTATTATTATTATTATTATTACTATTATTATTATTATTATTATCTCTATAAAAAAACAAGTAGAAGGTTACTATTGGATAGTGTCCATCACAAGGGGTGGTCATTTGTAATTGACCAAAGTTTGGAGGGGTTTTTGTGCATTAAGGTTCTACTTAATTCTTTTATGACAATTGAGTCCAAATTGAACCCAAATCAATGGATATTTAGCCTACTTGAACCCGCTTAAATCATTTTGTATTTTATCTAATATCGAGTCGGTTAAAGCGAATTGAACCCGGTGTTAACGAATTCTATTCGACCCGGGTTTGATTGTTCTTTCCTTGCAAAAAAAATTTCGTTGTGCCGACCTTGCAAATGTTTTGGCTTTATGGTTTTGGGTTTATGCCATGTTTTAACAACATTCCCTCGATCCCGTTAAAGCGAGTTAAACCCGGTGTTGCGAATTTGTTTCTAACCATGGAGGAGTTTTTTAGGTTCTGATTAATAAACTTTTGTCATTTGATCTTTTATTCAGTGGTGTCTTAAAGTAGCTCGGGTGGGTGATGCTGCATTGGGAGACTTGGATTGGCATCCCTTCCAGACAATACCCCTTTTTTCTTAATGTTCACAAACATAGATCGAACCATTGATTATAAATTATCACCATTAGTGAGAATTTTATTAGTTGTGATTAATTTTATTAGCGTTGTGCCTTTTCCATCCCTTCAAAACATCAAAGCCTTTGTCGAATTTTGAATCTTTGCTTTCCACTTTTTTTTTTTGTAATAGCTTTCCACTCTGTACTAATTTAGGCTCTCAATAATTGCGTTGTCGTTCTGCCTCCTCACAAACTATAGTTCTAAATTACTAAATTTACCTCCCACTACGTAGCACGGGCTCCGTATTGGCAAGCGATATGATGCAACCGGTAGTACAACTGGTTTATGCCCGTTCATAACGATTTTATTAGCAAAACAAGTAAGAAGGTGTAAAATCATACGATCTCTCTAAAATATAGTGGATATCTAAATTTAACCTCAAACCCCTGAATTCAGTAGAAAATATGATACCGAATTGCAAGCGAACAGTAGGTTTCCTGGGCAAGGTGCAATCGATAGTTCTCCCGTACCTAAAACACCTAACTAAACTACCAACCTTTAACCTAAACGAATTGAAAGAATCAGTTAGGCCGTTGCTTCGGATAGATGTAAGATGGCAACGACGGGCCACGAGAAAGAGTAGCAGCAGCCTTCTTCCTCCCCAGCATAGGCAGCTTGATCTGGCTGTAGTAAACAACAATCAAAAGCAACAGAAGCAACAGGAACACAAAAACAGGGGAATGAATGTAGTAATCCATGCTTCTCGAGAAACCAATGTCTTCTTTTCCTTCTCTTGTAGTAGTACTGCTTTGTTGCCCGTGGTGATAGTCTTCTCCTTCAACCAATGCAGCTCCAAGTGTCCAGGACAGATCTCCAGGGCCGAATGTAATCTGTTCGTCGCGAAGACACAGCAAGTCCTGTATGAGCGACACCATATAAGGCAGGCTGAAACAGTACTGGCTACCATACTTCTTGTTCCCGAACTTGCTGCTCAACTCGGTCGACAACTGTTGGGAAGAACATAGCTTCCCGGCTGTCTCCCAAATCTTGGTAAAGTTTGCTCTTGCTTCCAGCTTTAAGATGTTGTGAACTGCAAAGAACCCGGATAGTGCATGAAAGTGCCGGGTTTTGTGGGAACCAGATGCCAGGTTGGGAATGTTACTGCCTGCCCAGGAAAAGGAAGGAAACAAGTTAATGGTGTAGTTTAAGAAGAAGCCTACGAGGGAAGACACATTTTGGTAGAGCATTTTGTTGGAGATTATGCTGAGCTACGCTCGGGGTTTGTTTAAATGAAATACTTATGAAGATTGAGTTCCTGGTTGTCTAAGTGAAATATGTGCATGCATGAACAATCATTTCCAATTCTCAAATGTTTACTCACAGGAAACGGAAGGGATCAGAATCAGCAACCCCTAACAACTGTTTCCATCCTCAAGTTTTAGAGATATTTCCACCTTGGCAAGGTAAAGATTGCATATCCCAAATCATTAATGAGGTAAGTTAGAAAGGCAACAAGGTGAAGTTACCTGGCAGGTATGGATATGACTGAATGCTGTGACTACGCAAGATCAAGCATTGAAAAGGTACTTCAACCTTTAAGCTAAGAGAATGTGATACTAATAACTAATCTACATGTCTTTCGGATAACCATGTAAACTTTTTTCAGTTTTCACGCATGAATCTACAACACAAACAGATGCTCATTGGAAACCGAGAATGATACGAGAGATGAAGTGAACTTACTGTCGTTGAAAGAAAACCTCGCTTTGCAATTGCTCCCAACCATCATCGAGGTCGGCCAATCAAAACTACTGGTGTTCATCGCTGCAGCCCTTGCAACAGCTTTACACCTCTTCCAGTTAGGGTCTCCAACTATATGATAGTGCTCAGTTTTCGTCATCTGATGGCTCGCATTCGTTTTTTCAAATTCACTACTCAGACAAGGATGCTTAATTTTGACGGCATCACCAGTAGTTCGATCAACAGGAAGCAAATTAATTGTCCTGTCAAATGCCCCATTCAACCCAAAAGACGGTAATGAATATGCTAATATCCAATGTTCGACTGACCGAACTTTCGAACTCATCAAGTGCTCATTAGCTCGATGAGCATCAGTACCATCAACTTCAGTCACAACCTGCAATGACGAACCTCCTAAGTCGAGAAGTCCCAAGGCAGGCCCCATTGAGGAATTACCTAGCCTCCCCATCCGATAATTCAAAGCCACCCAACCATAGTAAGCTTCTTCTTTCCCACTCAAAACTCTCACCCAGTTCTTCCTATAAACAAAAGAATGTTCCTTCACAACACCTACCACATCATCCAAAACCCGCCTCGCATCTTCACCCTCCAACCTTCTCAAACCAGCAGTTGCCAGAACAAAAATTGGAGTCTCCTCGTGTCTTTCACGAGGCACCCACCTTTCCGCCAATCGAATCAAGGGTTCCAGTGCTAATTTCACTCCTGAAGAATTGCCAAGAAAGCTATCCAAACCTGGCTTGGTCTGAAAACAGTGATACTTACAGGCAAATGTTCTTTTCAGAGTGGAACTGCGAGCTGAATGCTCAAATTCAGGGTAAGAATTCACCAAAACAGGCAAACCCGAGTCCTTCGAACGATTTGCTTCCCACTTGTACACGCTCACTCTTGTTCCGGTGCTTCCACAATCCAAAACAACCGTGTGATGATGCCCGCTTTCGCCATGGAAATGCACTTCTCCGTGTTGCAGTGCATAATAAACACCGACCAATAACAGCAGAACCAGTGAAGCAATTGTACATATTCGCAGAACCCGGGCGGGACTCCAGATTGAGAGCTTAAATTTCGAGGGAGAGATGGGTTCCACTTCCATAGCTAAATTCTCAGAGTGGGAGAGATATCCCTACCGAATTTCTCATAAAGTTCACTGCTTTTCTCCATTGCCCTTCTTGATTCCTCTGTTCTTTGACCTACTCGCTAAATTTCTCAATCAATAATCAAAGGAAGGGACCTGATTTGAGATTCGCCTGGAGAAAACTCTCGGCACAGGTGGGTTTGGAAGTAAGATCCGAGTGCGAGATGAAATGGAGGAGATCGTCGTACCTGTTTTCACTACTCATTTCTGTGCTTGTCTGTTTGCTAGGAGGCTAATCACTGATCAGCTTGCACTCTGCTTAGACGGTTCAGCCAACCTTCGGGAGGAAATGGAACGAATGGCTGAAATTGCTGAGCTCGGATCCAGAAGAAGCTGTCCTATGGGAGTAATTAGATCAACCAGTGATTTTTGAAGCCGGTCGCCATGGGGATCCAACCAGGTCAGCAGACTGCTGCTTGGATCGGGGATCCAAATTTTGCACTTAATGTTGTGTTTTTCTTTCATCTTTTGATTAAAACTAAGGTCACACCGGTTTAAGTCGTTGAGCCGGTCAAGTAAGAAATTTGAGATGTCTGATCGGGATCCGGCCGATTTGAGCTGTTATAGACGTTTTCTAAATATATATACAAATAAGATAGTAATTAAAGATTTAGTGACTGAAATGAAATTTATCTTACATGTATCTATTAAAAACTTATTTTCTACCGCTTAAATCTATCTAACCTCTATGACTCAACCACAATCTCCCTCTCTTCGTTCCTCTTCCTCTCTTCCCTCTCTCTTCTTCTCCCTCTTTAGGGATCAGACCGGGGCTTCACAACTTGGGGTTCGATAGAGGTTTGACAACCTTGATTAAAACTTAAACTTGTGCCTAACTTTATTCCAAAAGATAAATTTGATCAACCTTTTTCGAAATGTTCATCATAATCTAGATTTATGCTCATAAATAGGGGTGGAAATCAGTACGGTATCGTTATCCCAATACCAAATACCGAAATCCCGAATACCGAATTACACCCTAAAATCAATCTCAATCCCTAAATAATTTCGCTATCCCAATCCCAATCCCTAAATACATCGGTATCCCAATCGGTACTTCGGTATCCCAATCGATATTATCGAATACGAAAATAATTACCTTTGCAATTAATAATTATATATAAAAATTAGATTTTATTGTTTAATTTAGCGCAAAGAGACAAAGCAAAGAGTTACGAGTTTGCCTAGAGCTAGGATATGGATAAGGAGAATGGAGGAGAGGTGACATCTCAAGTTCTTGTCAATGGTAATCTTTAATTTGACGAATTGGAGGTTATGAGATGACTAATACTAGTGTTTGCATTTTGGTGTTATGAAAATTACAAGAGATTAGGTGAGAGACGAGAGTAACTTAAATTGGATAGTCAAATTTGAGTTGGATGGGAGCTTCTAAGTTGTGAAATAGTGATGGAATGATCTATGAATAATTAAGGGCTCGTTTGCTTGTTGGATTTGAAAAAGAGGGTTTTGAGTTTTCAAAACCTTTGGATTTATGATGGATTTGTTGCATTATGGATTTGGAAGAGTACATTGTTTGTGTAGTTTATTTTTGTCATAGATTCATGATGGATTTGTTCACATTTTGCCTTCCATTATCAAATCCCAAATGAAACATGGGATTTGCAAATCCGTGGGGTCCACGGATTTGGATCTAAAAAATGGGTCCAAATCCGTGGGCCCCACGGATTTGTGTCCCTTAGCAAACAATGGACTTGTGCCAATTCCATTATGCTTGGGATTTGGGTACCAAATCCATCACCCAAATCCCACAAGCAAACGATACCTAAATAACACTCTTGGTGGTTGAGAATCATGTAGTAGTGAATGAGAGAGTCTAGCTGAGAGGATAAAATATTCACTAACTTATATTTTGGTATTAATCGGTATCTCGGTATATACCGATCCCGATCCCAATCCCGTAATCCCTAATACCAAATAACAATTGAAATTCAATCCCAATCCCAATAAATATATAGACAAATTTGGTACGGTATTCGGTATATCTCAAATACCGGTACCAAACTTCCAGCCTTCTCATAAAGTCTATTTTGGCCAATCAGAAGGTTGACTGTTATTTTCCGAAGTTACAAAAGGATAGGGATGGGATCAGGGCAGATCGAGAATGGGTATCTACCTCTAGATCCCCGTTCGTCAAGGCTGACGGATTTCCCCGTCCCCGCAGGTTAAAAGGGGATTATGTTTGTCGTCCTTGTCAGCAAACAGATTCGGGTAACCCACGGATCCTCATGGATCATGAACACAAGAGAAAAGGGAAAAATCCTTTATTTGAGTCCAGGGTTTTTGCCCTCAAATCGAGCAATGGTGTTATCAAACAAGAAGTTGAAGCAGAAGCTAAGAGAAGCAAATGATGAAACTTTGCCTTCATCGATATATGGGAAATCCATATCCAATGTAAATGGAGATGCAGGCGCAATTTTGGGGTTGCTAGAGTGGGGGGGGGGGGGGGGAGAGGGAAGAAAAGGAGGACAGAAGAGGGGAGGAGTGACTGGAGAATGGCAACAAGAAGAAGGAGGGGAAGAAGAGGAAGAGTGGAGAGGGAATGGGAGCAGTCGGCCGCCACGAGCGAGAGGAAATGAGGATTAGGGTTTTTTGAACCTTCATTTAGTTCATATAGTGAGCGTCCAAACGAAGTCATTTTGGGGGACGGGCGGATACCACGAGAACCATCGCTATCGGTTGCCCGTTACTCACGGGTTTCAGGTGCCCGATTCGCCCTTTAGCCACGATGGTCGGTAAAATGCTCACCATCTGTACGGGTTTTGGGTGGGTATCTGTCGGGTTGGTCAAAGTTGTTGTGCCTCCAAAAGGAAAAATGAAGCATTATAGGGATGCTCATAAAATAGTCATTTTATTTTTGAGGAACAAATCCAATACAACCCCAACGGGTGCATGTATATCAGTAGGTTCACGAAACTATAAATTATTTATTCGAACACACATTATAATATTATCGAAAAATTCTGTATAAATATATCTTACCCATGAGTACTCATAGGTTCACGAAAATAACTATATATTATTTCTTCGAACACACCGATCGTAATTTTGTCGAATTTTTTCCTACAAATATGTATATGGTTCGGGTTTTGGGATGGAGTGGAATGAGGGAAAAAAACGTCAAAGTTCTCAGTCAAAAAGTATGGACCACAATCACACATAAAGAATAAGCAATTAAATGGTACTTGTTGGTATGGAGGAGGAAATTTATCCCTAAACATGGCTTCCTTCTCTAGTTGGCTTTTCATAACAGACTAACTATGCAAGACAAGTTGAAAATTTGGGATAAAAATGTTACAAGTATGTGCTTTTTTTGCCTTGGAGGGTTTGAAGATCGTGATCACCTTCTTTGTCATCTGCTCCTTTACAATGAGTATTCGATCGAAGTGTTTGAAAACATGTGCTCCCTCTTGTTGTTGGTGATTGGGAGAAAATGGTTAGATGGTGTGTAACGAAATGATACAACCGTACAAAACGAGCCAAGATTTGCATATTGATTTGGTGTGTGACACTAAGTATGGTATGGTATTAAAGATGTACCAGAATGTATGGATCCAAGCCAAGTCTCCATAGAGTATGTTTAGAGAGATACTCAGTACTATCATATGCAGATTGTCAATAGATTAGGATCTCCAAACAGGTTTTGATGATTTGGACTTGGTTTTCTTACAGTTTTTGTTATAGAGGGTATTGTACACACTCTTTTAGATGCTGATGTACATATTGTTTGAGAGGTTGTTGGGTTTTTTCAGATTGCCTATGCTTAATGATAATTTTTTTTATCTAACCATACAAAATATATTTTATAAAGACTAATAAAAAAATTATAAATTATTTATATTCTTAGGTTTAAATTATTTATAATGACATCGATTTTGATATTTGAGTGCGGATCAGTTAGAAATTGGTTTGAGTTTTGTCAAAAATCGAAACCCAAAAACTCAATCCGACAATTTCCAAAATGGAAAACCGACACCCGACCCAAAACCTACCCACTTTTGGTCGAGTTGAATTGGATTGGATATAGGGCTGTTAGCAGTACGATTTCGGTTTAATCGAACTGCAAACGCTGTTAACCACAACCGACAATTATCCAAAAACCTCAACCGCCACCGATTGACTTGTCGGTTAGCTGAAAACCGACGTTGACAGTTTCGGGTCGGTATCGCGGTTAGCTGAAAACCGAAGCGACGCAAGAGATGGGTTGACGGGACGACGGGCAATTCAGCTTCAAGGACGACAACGATGATGTGTTGATCGTGAGGTTGAGGGGCAAGGAAATTAATTCGTCAGAGGGTTTGGATTTTGGAATAAGGAGAACTGGAGAAGGTTTCGAGGAGTGAGAGTATGAGGGATAGGAGTTTTGCGGGGAGAATTGGATTGAACATTGTGAGAAGAAGGAGGGGGTAAGTGGAGGCGGCAAGGAAGAGTAAGAATGGGTAGGGGCAGCGAAGTGGAGGAAATTGGCTCTGACGAGGGGCGCCAGCGAGGTAGATGGGAGGCAGCGACAACGAGGAAAAAGGCAGGGGACGACGACCGAGGATCGACCTGCTGCGATTGTCGACGGCGATAGAGGATCAATCAAATCAACTTGCTTCTACTGCTGCCAGACCTTGGATTTGGAGGATGAAGAAGGGGTGGTGGTTGAGATCACTTCGACTCTTTCCAGTTCTCGTCGACCTCCGAGAATGAAGAAGGACGGGATGACGATGACGATTGACGATCAATCTTCACTGCTGCAGCAACCCCTTCTCTTTCTTAGCCTTCGTTTGCTGGATCTCGATGGCAGACGAGCAGCGATTGAGGATGGAGGGACAACAACGATTTTTCTTCTAGAGAGCCATGGAGGGGTTGGGACTTGGGATGGGAGGGGGATTAGGGAAATTGAGTTGCAGGGCGGTTATTCAGTGCACCGAGTTTATCTCGGTTAGCCAACTGCAGTTGCCGGTTAACGGAAATTTCCAAAACAACACACCAACACCGCCACCGAAGAAAAGCTATCATTTTTCGGTGAAGAACCTCTCCGTTCGGATCGGTTTTCGGTTTGACCAAGAAACCGCCAATCGATTATCACCCCAAATTGGACACCCATGGGTCCGGACTCTGGACATACCCGCAATCCTAAGCAAACGTCTGTCTTCCTCAGCTCTCATCCTCCTTCCCTCTCTCTCTTCCTTTCTCTCCCATCCCCGTGTCCGTTCTCTCTTTCCCTCTACTTCCTTCTTCGATCTCGTATACGAAAAAGCGCCCCCTTCTCTTCCATCACTTCTCTCCCTTTCCATATTAACCGTAGCTTTTTCATCCTCCTCGGATCTCTCCCTCTTCCTCTTGTTGCTCTCCTACGATCTTCCGAACACCGCTGAGAGCACTCCCCCTTCTGTTTTATCGTTCTTTCTCTCCACGAACCCATCCTCGCTCTCTCTTCCCAAACTCTAGGGTTTCTGAATACCGTATCAACCCCGCCAAAGCTTTGGAACGGAAAGACAGATTTCCCCGACAGAGGGGAGAAGGACTCCTGTTAACCTCAGGCAAGTGCCTCCGCCTTCGCTCGGCTCCTTCTTTAATTTCGGCAACCTTGCATATCGATTGGTCTGTGTGTGTGGTTACTGTAAAGAGAATTCGACGAAGTGGGTAGGAGGGGAAAGAAGGAAGAGATAATTGGAGAGATTGTTACGTGCTAGTTTCTTGAATTTGATTGCAACTTGAAACTTAATCACTGCGTTTGAACTTTTGTTTTGATGCTTGCTTGCTGTAGTTTCCGATGAGTGATTGTTTACTGGGTTTTGCTTGTTGTGCTTTTGGCGGAAAGTGTTAGGCCTAGCGTCAAATGTGATCCCGTTTTGTACTCCACCATTCGACGTGACACTGTTTTGCTTCTACTTTCCACAAATGATGTGGAAAGTGGTTGGGAGTAGCTTGTTTCAGACTCGGTGCCACGAAAGGCAAGTTGGACTTGTAAAGCTGGAGAAGGGCTTCTCCTCTTAGGAAGTTTGTGGCGGGGTTGGAATGTGAGAAAATAGGCCTTTAGGGTTATAAAAAGATGCATACTGCGGTATCGGTAACTAGTGAGGCTGCCTTTTGATTGGGTGTTCTGCAATGGATAATATTCCCTCGCTCCCCTGTGTCACCTAAGTCATTATGCGAATTGTCTGTGTCTCTTGCTAAAGCATGGATACTTGGTCCTTAACTTCGATTTTGGGTTTTCCCTTTTAGGAAAGATTGCTTCTTTATGCAGGGTCACTACATAAAAATTGCTTTGATTGTTTGGTGTAACTTGGACACTCTGTGCTTATTTGATTTTCAGTCTTGTACACTGCTTCTTGATACTGTGGTGCGCAAATTTATACTCTGAGTAGTGCCTCTGTTCTTATTTGTTAATCTCCTTTTTTTGAAAGACTGTCAGGTTTCAACTCTTAAGCCATCTTTTGGAGAATATATTCACGAATCATGATAGTCAGAGTGTCATGCAATATTTGTGTGTCTCATTGTTGTGTAGGTATCTTTAGTGTTTTTGGATGACCTTGCTACGGCAAATCAATTATGGCATCCAGTGCGTTGACGGGAGAACGAAGGTACTGGTTCACCTTTATCCATTTGCCTTTGGTTTATTAGTTATTACATATACGAGCGTATAAGTGCATGTATAGGTTCATGGACATGCATATATTATAATGAATCATTTCTGTTATTTTCTACGTATATGTTTGGTTGCCCGATTAATGATTAACTTTGTGTGCTTGGTTGTAGGTGGTCTGCCAGAAGAGGTGGCATGACTGTTTTAGGGAAAGTTGCTGTACCAAAACCAATTAACTTGCCCAGTCAAAGGTGTTTTCTATGATCCTTGCTATATCTCATTCTAATGAGCAACTTGAAATTGTTTTCCTTCCAAATTCATGTTTCCTCTCATGTTTGAAGGTTGGAAAATCATGGTCTTGACCCAAATGTGGAAATTGTTCCCAAGTAAGTAGATCTTATCTAGCAGTCTTCTATCTTGTATGACCTTCTCTTCTGTTTCTCTTATCTTCTTTTCTAGCAATAAATAAATATATAATCGGGATCCTCGCACTTGTTTGCCAAATAATTTTGTAATCATGCTTTGTCCTCATTAAACTGTAATGTTTTTGACACTTGGTAGGGGGACCCATAGCTGGGGCAGTAGATCGTCTTCATCCTCATCAAATGCATGGGGTTCGTCTACTCTGTCTCCATCTGATGGTGGTACTGGTTCCCCTAGCTATCTTAATGGCCGTCCTTCATCTGGTGGCGGCACAAGGCCATCAACCGCGGGTAGCGATAGAGGCCATGAACCCATAGCTAATGTGTGGAGTTCTAGCTCTAGGCCATCATCAGCCTCAGGTCCATTGACATCGAATCAGACAGCGATCACTGCATCCCGTCCTCGTAGTGCTGATACAAGACCTGGTAGCTCTCAGTTATCTCGGTTTGCAGAACCTTTATCTGATAACTCGGTAGCTTGGGGTGCTCTTGGGACTGCTGAAAAACTGGTATGGCTTTCTTGACTTAATCAGTCAATGGTTTGTCCATCTTGTTTTCATCATGATAAATGCAGCATAAGTATTTTTACTCTATTTTTCTCTGTCTCTCTGCCTGCATAATAGCATGGAGATTGATATCGGATGCCTTTGGCACCTGACAAGGAAAACAGTAATATTTCTGGCTCACTATATATAACTGGAGACTTTTCTTATGCTTAATTCTTATCCAGTTTCATTTTTCGATTTGATATTCTGGTGTTCTTCATCCTCACACTGATATTATAGGTTTCATACAGTGTGCTGTCCTATTTAGCCTGCTCTGCCTTTCATTTGTAAATGTGCTTGGTTTTGTTTGTTGGCATTTGTTTGGGGTGCTCATCGGAGATATACCAGTGGATGCAAAGGTCAATCAGTATTGATTCATAATTAGGGTAGTTGTTCTGCTGTAAAAGGTCAAAACTTGCTGTTCACCTTTGCATGTTGAAACTAGCTGCCTATAGCTGATAAGGGCTTGCACCTGAACTCTAATGCGTTCTGAAATTCTTGCTTACGCATCCTAAAAGTATCTGGAGATGGGGGGACAATGGGCATATAGTCTAGCTCCCTTTCTAAAGCCAAGAAGTCTGGGTGTTTTGAAAATTAATCACAACTTTGTGCTGATGAGAGGGCTGATAGAAGCATGCTCATTAAAGTAGCCAACAGGATGCGTATTTGCAAATAGAACATTGTCCATGAAAATATGTTGTAAATGAATTTATATACTGAATTGTTTTCTGTTGTCATCCTTCATTCTTTTGGTTGACATATTTTTCTCATAAAATCTGTTCATTGTGTTGTTGCCTTTGCAAATGCAGGGGGTGGCACAGTCTAAAAAGGATAGCTTCTCTCTTACTTCTGGCGATTTCCCAACTCTTGGCTCTGAAAAGGAAAATTTTACAAATAACACAGATACAGCAGGTTTTCCTCCTTAAATATTGTTTGAGCTTGAGCAGCAGTGGCTCATGTTCTTATGCTAGATTACTGTTGAGTTCCCGCAACACTTAGGATTGTGCTATCGTACTGTGTTTGCAGATATGCATATGGTTCTGACCTCATCTAAAGTTATCTTCATTTAGATAAGAACCTCATCTAGAACTCTGTTATTTGCTATATTGACTATCAGGCCAATGAAAATCTCTCCTCTTTTAGGGAAAACTGTTGGATTAACAAGTTTTTCTTTCCCCTTTGCATCATGTGCTGTTATTTATCTGGATTTCTGTGCTGGTTGGCTGAAGTGTTAAGAAGTATTATTGATTTCGATGGATACAAGTTGATGGCCTACTGTTGATTCTATGCTCGTTGATGCATGTATGTTTGATTCCTTATGCAGTGGATAAACTTTCATATCTTGTTCTTTTTTTTATTTGTTTATGAACTGCTTAAATGCAGAGCATGTTTTTCCTCATGACTCGCCTTCTGGTGGAGAATCTGTTAAAGAGAGGACAGCTGATGCTGTAGGTTTGTGTTTTGCACTCGACTTTTTCTTCTGTATTCTTGGTTATAACTTATTTGGCTGCCATATTCTAATGTTGGTTGCATGAATTTTACTGTTTGATTTCCTTTTCAGCCGTGGATTCTGGAAGTGCAGATGTGAAGAGCGACAATACAAATGCTTGGAGAAGAGAGAGTTCCTTTTATGAGAGAGAGGGAGTTAGGCCCAATGTTGAGCAATGGCATGCTGATCCTCATTCATATCCTAATTCTACTATCCCTCAACATTTTGATGCTTGGCATGGCCCTCCCTTGAATAATCATCCTGGTGGTGGTGGTTGGTATAGGGGTCCTCCAGGTGGTCCACCATTTGGGGCCCCAGTTGGACCTGGTGGATTCCCTATGGAGGCATTTCCTTATTACCGGCCTCAGATTCTCCCAGGCACCATGGCAAATGCACAGCCGGTTCCCCCACAGCCATCAGGTGGTCCAAGAGGTCCTCACCCACAACATGGAGATGTGTTCAGACCACCTCCCATGCATGATGCTTATATTCGTCCCGGCATGCCAATTAGACCTGGGTTTTATCCAGCACCGGTTCCTTACGAGGGTTATTACGGTCCTCCCATGGCATACAACAACAATGCTAGTGAACGAGACATTCCTTACATTGGAATGCCTGTGGGTCCTGGTGCATATAACAGATATCCAAATCAAAATGCTCATGAATTTGGTAATTCCCATGGAAGATCCAGTGGGTATGGCTCTAATACTGGTAAAGGATTTGTTTCAGAACAACTGGAATCTGGTCATCATCCTCATGATGCTCAAGGGCCACATAAAGTTCTTCTGAGGCAACGTGAAGGGTGGGATGGAAAAGCTGGGGAGCAGAAGTGGGATGATAACAGAACAGCCAATGTGGTACATCCTGGGAAGGGAGACCACCCAAGAAAGTCAGCTTTGGAGAATGGCCGGAGAACAGACCAGATCAAGAGAGACAATGGTGTTGAAACAAAAAGAGTGCTTTCTGGGAGAGATTCTGTCACTGTTGACCACAAAGTTGGTGCTTCTTCTGTCAGATTGAAAGGCACTGAAAATTGTGGGAAGTCAAATCCATCTGATACGGGTCTTGATCAGATATCAGATCATGCGGAACACAGAGCTTCCTTTTCTGAATCAGTGTCATGCTCTAGAGACCCCAGTCTTATTAAAAAAATTGAAGGTCTCAATGCTAAGGCTCGGGCTGCTGATGGAAGGCAAGATGCCAAATCTGTGAGTAGTAGAGATGAGCAGAAGAATAGGCCAAAATCTGACAGTATCAGGAACAATCATCATCCTGTAAATGAAGCTGTCATTCCTCTGGAAAAACCAGTATATGATGGGTCTGTCAACCCCGGCTCCTTTGATGATCAGAGTTCTGGAAGAGATAAGAGTCTCGACTTGACAGTTAAAAGTGGTGGAATGGGTATAACAAGGTGAGTTTGTGACTCTCTGGCTTTAAACGTTTCTACTACCCAGTTTAGGAAAAAGAAAACTAATATACAGGTTTACAGGTCTACTCAGGGCATCCATATCAGAACGATTTATCGTGATAGTAGAAGATCTAATACTCAGGATACTGATAGTTGGAGGCGAATGACTCAAGTTACCGAATCGAATGATGATGTTTCAATTGTAAATGGAAGTTCTGTTGGGCACATCCAAGACTGTGCATCTGCTGAGGTCACTGAGAAGTCTGTCTCACATCAAGGCAATGATGGGGAGTCAATGCTACAAGCATCTGAGCCAACTGATACCCAGGCACAGGTAGTCTTGCTTGTTGTATTTGTCTGTTTATGTTTTAATTTCTTTGCATTGTTCTTAATATGTAGCCTTGTGCTCATTGTTTGGTTTACTTATCAGCGAGCTATGATGAGAGAGCTAGCTCGCCAGAGACTCAAACAGAGAGAGAAGGAAGAAGAAGAGCGAACTAGAGAACAGAAGGCGAAGGCTCTTGCCAAACTAGAAGAGCTGAACAGGCGAATGCCGGCGGGAGAAGGTTCCTCTCGGAAGCTTGAAACTTTATCTAGTACTACTTTGCTCAATGAGCAAGTGGAGTTGCTGAACTCTGCACAACCACCTGTAACTGTCAATGCGTCTACAGCTAATACTGTTGTGGCTTCCAACTCGGTTGCAGTGGTACCTACTAATGAAGGAATCACAAATAGAGTTGAGATAACTACCCGTTCATCTAATGAAGTACTGTCACAAGAGTCCAAGAAGAATTCCAGCGAAGCTCCTTTTGTGATGCATGAGCCATCAAAATCACGGTGCCAGGAATCTGGTGGTGAAAATGTCATTAATAATGTCAGACAGGAGCATGATGAAACTGGGGATTCAAAGCAGAAGCACATGAACTACAGGCAGAAGCAGAACAGTTATTTGGAGAAGACTTCTGGTGACGAGGTCTCCTTGACCGCAACTGATGCATCAAAAAGTCATAATACTGGTGCAATGCCTGATCCTTCTGCCCCTCTTCAGGCTATTGCTCATGGGACTGATTTGCCTGTCAGCCCAAGTGCAACAGCCGAGTCTTCAGCAGCACATCCTAGGAGGAAAAACAGGAGTACAAGGAACAAGCAAAAAGTGGAGGATGCAGCACCTTCTACTGCGGTTTCACCAGCATTGGCTGCCTCCAAAGATACAACTGCGTTGGAGGTTTCAGACGAATGTGTCAAACCAAAAACTCCAGAGTCCTCCGTTGCAGCTCCTAGCTCAGTTCAGCTGGTCTCTGGTCGCAGAGGAGGAAACAGTCAGCAGCATATGGACCAACATCCTACATCACCAAATGAAGATATCCAGGTCAAGTCTAGTAGTAACCAGTGGAAACCTCAACCCTCTCGAAGGATGTCAAGGAATCCACAGGCCAATAATAAAACGATGGATAATAAATTCCATGGAAGTGATACTGTCATCTGGGCTCCAGTGCGGTCACATAATAATAAATCTGAAGGTGCCACTGATGAAGGGGATAAGAAAGTTGCTGCTAGTCTACCTCCTGTAAAAAGTGGCGACCAGCAGGTGCATAATACTCCTACAAAGAACAAAAGGGCAGAAATGGAAAGATATGTTCCAAAGCCAGTAGCAAAAGAGATGGCCCAGCAAGGAAATGCTAACCATCCTGTGGCTTCTTCTCCTGTCGTTGTCCAGATGTCTGCACACGAGACTGTTGTTGGCAGTTTATCAATTCCTTTGGGGCCTGTAAGTTCACAAACCACCGTCACCCTCCAGTTTGGTTCCATTGCTGAAGCCACCAGGAATGGGGAGAGCTCCAGACAGATTAAGCCTGGGAAGGTACAGGGGTCATCGTGGCACCAACGTTCTTCAGCTGAATCACAAACTTCAACCTCAAATCCTAGTTTTCAGAAGTCAACCGAGAGTCAGCAGCAACCTCAGAACAGATCAGACGCAACAAGTTCAGTGAAAGAGCAGCCGTCAGAACCAACTGATGAATGGACAGATGGTTGGACAATGCCTGAAGAGCCTAATGCACCAATGCCAGTCTCTAGTTTTAAGGATCAGACAGCTACTGCCAGGGGAAGACGGCAGCCACAGAAGGGGCAAACTAGAGTAGGACACAATCCCGACAGTGTGGAGACACAAATCGGCGGGGACAATGAAAAGGCTCATACTCAGTCTTGGCAGCCCAAGTCCCAGTCAACTTCTGGTACTGGTCAGCGGGCAAAGAAGACTAATAATAATGATGGTCAGAATGTTGCTGCAGAAGCAAGTAGCAGGGCAAATAAAAGGGGTCCAAGTTCGACTGCTGTGGGGGTGTCTGTACCACCACCTAAAGATAAGGAAGTAGCTACTGGAAGGGCAACTGAAGTGTATCCTTCTGATAAAGAGGGTGGTAGGAGGGAGAGGAAGGTGACCTCTCACAAAGGACATAACAACTCTACTAGCCCTGTGGAGCCAGCAGCTTACGACCAAAACTATCCCTCTTCAGGATACAGGAGAGGCGGTGGAAACCAGTTCAACAATGATCATCGCGAGGCTCGTGAGGAATGGAGTGGAACTGCAAGAGATAACAACAGGCAACATAATGTACCAGCAGCAAACAGGGAAAGGCCGACGAGGCAAAGTTCTCATTACGAGTACCAACCAGTTGGGCAACAAAATAAAAGCAAGGGAAGTAACTTTGAGCCTTCTTCCAAAGATGGATCTCATGCTTCTTCAGGCTCAAGGTTTAGGGAAAGGGCTCCGAATCACGCTAGACGTGGCGGGGGCGAGTTTCATGGACGTCGAGGTGGCAGTTTTAGGGTATTAGAGACTAATAATGATTAGAGATGGTTATGACGTGACATGGGTTTTCTCTCTGAGGAGTGTCTGCTTTGCTTTGCGGGTTTGCAGATTGGCTCGTCCTTCTCCACGCTTGCAGGTAACTGGAGTTTGGTTGTAGGGTTGAGCTGTAGGTACAGCTTAGCTTAATTACTTCCACTGATGATGCCATGATGAGTTAACCAGGATTTGGAGCAAAAAGAGAACATATTCGGCTGAAGGAGAGATGGTGGAGATTGTGGAAGTTGGTTGATGCCTTCCTTTGATTGCATATTTCTTTTATTCCCCGTCTGTCTTGTTGGTGGATGAGATTTGAACCAAAGTAATTTGAATGGCAGCAAGCTTGCTGTTTGGAACCCCAGTGGTTTTGAGCGGCAGTAGTTCTCAGTTTCATTTTTCTTTGCTGTCTGTTATGAAAAAGGAACCTCCCTTTTGGAAGGAATGAAAGTAGAATGAAGAGCCTTTGGTGGCACTTCCACTTTAATCTCTCTCTGGGCTTCTGGCTTTATAATTTGTTGCCCATGAAGTAGTGCCAGTTGGTAATAATGGTCTCAACTTGTTGAACTTAGGGGGAAGAGACTTGCTGAGTTAAGGAGGATTGGCTTTGGCGGATAAAGGTTGGAGTAGGGGTGATGGTTTGGTTTAACTAAACTGAAAAATCATCAGTGACTCAAACCTGAATTTGACAATTGCCCAAAACCTAAAACTAAATGTTGAGGGCTTATCGGTTTTCAAATCGGACACTAAAAAGCTCTCAACTGTTTTGGATAGAATGAACTGGAACCTGGAAATTGAACGTGTGTTGTTGTCATTTGTCCCTTCATAACATTGGTTTTTATCGGTTTTATTAAGTGGCTTTTGAGTTTTACTGAAATTGTGAAGAGTTAGCGGCTTCTGCCTATTAAGAGAAATCGATTAGATTGTTGTATCGATTTGGTTCTGCTTAAGATCGAAACCTCGAAACCAAACTATTACCCCCTAGTCCGGAAATACTTTTATGCGTCTCACAAATTCAATCGAACAAGTTTACGATGATTTACCTACCATTCTCCCGTGAAAATAATCTAATTTCAAAATTATAACAAACAAACACTCAAATGGGTTACACACTTTGACAAGGTCGACTGAACTACGGTTGAGCAAGGCTTGTAAGTTTCAATTCTAGTTCATCTTTTAGTAAATGATACGTTCATAGTCATAATATATATAAAATAATTATTTTATTAATATTATACGTATTATACGAATTTTACATGTGTTTAATACGAGAGTCATTAAAAGTGATGTTCGAGACAAGGCAAGGCATGGCCGAGCCGCCGCCTCACACACAAACCGTCTCTCTCTCGCGTCCTTCTGTAGTCACCCACTCAGACTCGGTTCTTGTTTGTCTGTTTCCTTTCTTTTTTGTCTAATATTATCCAGAGGGGAAAACAATTTCTGCCAGGGGTTCCTTTCAGCCGGAAAATTAACTTTCAATTGCTTTTTCTTTTCCAATTCCAACAATCAGATTCACAGCGCTCCTTCCCCCTTTCTTTTCATTCGTAGTCATATCCTTTTATCCACTCCTCTTATCGGAAATTCAATTCCCCCTTACCTCTGTAGAACCCGAACCCTCTATTAAGCAAAGCCGCTTTCCTTTCACCATTACCATTCTTCTCGTGTTCTTCTTCCTCTCCGGCGTATATAATCCACCTGGGCTAAGAAAAGAAGACTCTCCCGCCGTCTTTGGCTTCCCCTGAGGGGATTCCAGCTGGGTCATGAGCTCGCGCGGCGGCCAAGGTTTCTCTCCATCTCATTCTCATGCTGCAATTTGTGTCCTAATTTTGTTCTCGGAGCTTGCTTCGGGGGTTAGGGTTTCGCCTGCTGGGTTGTGGGTAGGTTGGGTTTGCTTGTGATTTCGGGGAACTAATTCTGGTGGTAGATAGAAGAGAAAAGTGGGTGTCTTTTCATTTGGGCAGTTTGTTTTTTGTATAGAGATTCTGGTAATGCGTTTGACTTTCGCTTATGCTTTGGTGTGGATAAGGTTGACCGAGTGTTCGCCCCTCTCTGATTGGCAAAAGTGAACAGTAGCCTGGGAGCTGTCTATTGTTGTTATCTTATTGGTTTATGAGAGACCCGTAGATTGAAGAGCGGTTCTTTGACAAGGATTTTACTACTTGTTCTCTTCTTTCATGCTGAAGTTGCTTTGCTTCTGTCTGTTATCTTTGATTGCTTATCTAGCAGTTTTCTTTGTTTCCTTAGGCTCCATTGGATAGATGTGTTGGTGCTTAAAACCGGAGCAGAATGGCTTTGGCGACGCATCAAATGCGGGTAAGTCAAAACAAAACTTATATACCCGTAGTTCATAGGGTCTGAACTTTATGTTTCTAAATATCTTCATAGTGGGTTTCCGGTTGTAGTCAATTTTGATATCTACTATGCTCTTACTTTGTCTTACTTCAATCCACCAAAGGTTTGCCTGCTTTTTGTTTTTAGATGTCTACCTTGCATCTTCATTAGGTTGTTGAATGTATGTCTTTTGTAAGTCTTGATTTCAAGTCTCACATGTCCGGTTTTCCCCTTTTCTTCTCTACCAGGGTTCATATGTAGCATTTCCCTCAAGGCCTTCATCATGGAGCAGAGGTGTCAAATTAAAACAACATGTCATGTCACTTCACATGGTTGGGAGATTAGATAGGCGTTTCTCAGCAAAGTGTTATCTTCATTCAAGGTAATCATGGCTTACTAGTTGGACCACTTTTCCTTCCTATATAGCTTGCTCAATCTGCTGTTTTGAGAGTCGGTCTTGTAAAATTTTAGAACATAATGCTGAGCAGAATAGTTTTCACAGTGTAGGGATTGGTATTCATGGGCTAAAAACAAAACTTCTGCGAGTTTCGTCCTTTCAAGGTAGTGCAAAGAACGATGATGCAGGGGGCAGATCAAGCTGGTCCAAGGGTTCAAAAAATTCTGTCAAAATTTCATATGTCTCAGATGATAGTGGAGAGAGCCTCAGAGAGCTTCCGAAGGCTCAAAGTGTTCCAGTTTCATATACGCCTGAACCAAATGAAGGAGTTGGAGGATCTCCTGCTATTAATAATTTATTCAAGAAATGGTTAAGCCTGCTGCGGTCACATTCGTCTAGTCAGGTGGCTGATGGTATCTTAGAGGGACCAGGTCCAAGGGAAGAAGTAGCTCAAACTCAAAGTATTACTCAGGAGACGCAGAGACGTAGTTTTCTATCCCGGGGTTTCCATCACTTTTGGCAGCTGGATGCAACAATAAAAATACCGATACTGCTATTGTGAGTATATTTCTTCTGCTAGGATCTGTCTTTATTTACTGCTATTCAGTGATTGTTTGGTAAAATTGAACTGGAGATTGGTGTGCATAATTAGGGATTTGGTACGACTACTGAATATGTGGTTTTGAATTAGAACATGCTCACCTGAATTTATAACAGTATATTTTTTTCATTACCATTGGGTGATTAAAGGGATCGAAATGAATTATTTGGACAATGGTGACAAGTATAACTTTTCTAGTATTTAGGGGTTGTTTGGAACCTGTGATTTGAGAGTGCATGTAGTTCAAACACATAATTTTTTCGGTAACTAACTCTTCATTTTTTGCACAATACTTTTTAGATATATATGCATTTCAAACAAGATGATGCATCTGATATGCCTCATCTCAGCTTCTAGGTGAAGTCAAATGCTAAATTTGTTCTGGAAATGGATTATATATTATTTCAGGCAAGAGCTATTTCTGATTAATGTAATTAAACCATCTATTGCAATTTAGGATGGTTTTCTTTTTATTATCTGTGAAAAAGAAGGAAAACTTTGTCTAGAAATTTTATCAAGTTACAGGCTCAGTAGATCCATAGACGAGGGCAGGGATTTAAATTGTAGCAATTAGGAATGAGGCTTTGTTTGATTCTATGGGATTGGTGCAATTCATACTGAAAGACCCTTTTGATGGTCACGACACTTTGGAGCTTGTGCTTTGTCCTTGTCAATAATGTTTGGGTTTTATTGCCTCCTGTGAGTTGCATTACAAAGATGGTCACTTCTCAATTCAGCTAGCTTTTGATTTGGCATGTACCAACTGGGTTTCCTGTATTTGCAGTATTCCGTTGTATCTTGGCATTACTGCTATATATGGAGTTGAAGTATCAAAGGAATTGACTCCTTTGTGGGTTTTGGGTCCTCTCGTCGCTGCTCTCTATGTCAAGCTGCTACAGGGTCTCTGGGCACTTTACGTCTTCACCTTTCGACAGACCGTCAACATAGTGAAGAATTTACCTACTTACTATCAAGTGGCATGGAGCTACATTGCAGGTGGGAAGCTGAAAGAAGAAATCGGTGCTCGTTTCATACAACCAATTGTGACAATAAAGAACTCGGACCATAAAGAAATGGTGAGGCAAAGGATGATGGTATTCAAGGAGTGGCTGACTGAGAAGTACCTTGACTTTGTGGAATCTATATGGCCCTACTACTGCAGAACAATTAGGTTTCTGAAGAGGGCAAATCTCATATGATGTTGGGTAGTTTCAGTGTTGTAGAAGGATGAAGTTCGCGAAGTTGGATTTCCGGCAGAACATGATGAGGTTCAATGAGAGAGATCTTTGGAATACAGGGAGGGCTGGCGAAGAGTGAGCTTTAGATTGGTGATTCATCCATTATATGCCTTGGTTAATCCCTTGTGTTGTAGCATGTTCTTTTGAGGGTTCCATGAGGGCATGGAACAATTGGTTTCGACACCATTTTGGCTTATGATTGAATAGCCATTATTATTCTTTTTCCCCCCACCTTGTTTCTATTAAGTGGTGACTTGCTATCAGCAGAGAATTTGTCTGTGCGATATCTGCTCTATTATCAGCTGTATGTTGTACTTTCATAGGCCAAGTTGCCCCATCTGCAAAAAGAATATTTTGGCATTCCTTCAAATGCTATTGAAAGACGAGCGATGATATTATTTACTTTCATTTAGGTTACTATTAACTTTCCATGTTTATTGTGGTGAGAGTTAGTTTTTGGCTCGCTTTTGCTTTTTTTGTCTTCAAATGTCTCGAAACTTGGTTCCAACCTTCACCACATCATGCACTAGGACTTTATTTAAATATGACAAATGAGAACAACCAAGATCAAGTATCAAAAACTCAAATATGTGTAAATTAGTATGAATAAGAAACTAGCATGATATATCCAAAAAACACAACCACGGTTAAATTAACACATTTCAACTCATCAAAATTGTCGACTATTATTTTTATTAAATTCAACTTATTGTTTGAGTTTAGGAAATTGGGATATGAGGTTAACCGTTAGAGGTTATGGTAACACCGGTTATTTCATTGTCTAAATAACAAAATTCTTTGGCATATGGTAAGAATAGTGTATGTCCTAGCATGAATCATATACATATACACATGAGGCATGTATATTGATTGTTGAAGTCCTATTTGTGTTTTAAAATGACTAAAAAGTTTTGATGGATTAGTTCTAATGAGAATTGAAAATAACCCCCTTTAGAACACGAAATCAAAGAGCTTTTGTATATTTTTTTCCAAATGATGCTAGAAAGGTATTACCTTTTAAATAACGATGCTATGATGGTTTTTCATTTTATTATAGTTAAAAAGATTTGGACTATATCAGTTCTGAAACATGGTGTCTACCATACATTAAACGGCCAACCAAGGCCTGTTAGTAGGTTCACTTATAAATGTAATAGTTTATTCGGTTATTGGTTAACCATTATATAATTTTTGCTTACTGTTAACCGTATCATTTATACTAGTCAGCTACTATTATTATGTCGGTTAACCAACAACCGTTAGCAAGTGATTCAACAAAATTAGACAAAAATAATTGATCTGTAACTAAACCAACAAAATGTCCCTTTTAAAAAAAATTGTACCCTTTTTAATTCCCCCCTACATATGTATGTTCTATTTCATATTTTTATCATTGATTTTGGTTTGTTTGTTGAGTTGTTGTTTTTATTGAGACCAAGAGAGGAAATCAAAGAGAGCTAGGAGAAGCGTGATGAGTGCAATATATGTGTGGAAAGTCATTGATTCAAGAAATTGGGACGCGATTTTTGCTATACTACCTTTACCATGAGTCACATGATCTTCTCAATCCAATCTTGATGCTCACATTTCAATCATAGAATCGATGGTGCTATTTGCCTCTTTCAATTTTAGGGTTCTACTGGAAGGAAACTGAGAAAAGAAGAAGAGGGTCGAGCAGGGAGGAGATTGTTTGTTCGAAGTTCGAGAATATTTGGGACGGACATAATTATTTTGAAAGAAAGAAATATAAATATTTCTATTCATTTAATTTTTGGTTAAGAGTTAAACAACTTTTCGATTATATCATAAGTCATTTCAGATAAATCGTTAACCACCGGTTATCGATTAGCTTATCACTGTACCCGCTAACCGAGTAAGTAGTAACCCAATATCACCTAGCCTGACCCTAACGAGAACACCTATTTATATGATAGATACAAGAAATCGACTAACGGGGCCGCTTGTTTCTTTTCTTCCCAAGTCTTTGTATTTCACTTCGCTTGGTCAGCGTCGTCGTGGCGGAAGAACTCCAAAATCCAATTCCTTAGTTTCACTGAATCCGTCAATTCCGACGAGAAATATCTAATGGCTCTTCCTGGCTTAATGGGTGTGGACGTTCTTTAGTTTAAAGTCTCCGACTTAGGCGGCGGCGACTCATCGGCGTGGGCGTTGCAACACATAGTTTAGAAAACCTTAGTGTAAATGGCTGTTAAAGCTGGTTCCTTTTCAGTATCTTGTGACGCTTCGTCGCTTTCTTCTCCTCTCAAGCTAAGCGGAAACTCCAAGGTTTTCCCTTTCTCTTGTCCTCTATATCAATACTACTGAATTTTGCTGGGTCACTGGTTAGAGTGACCTGCGCTTAGTGTTTGGATGGTGAATTTGGTTTCTTGGCGGCGTTCACCCTGGTATCTTTGACTCCTTAATCATTCGAACTTAGTTTACTCGAGGTTTCTTACTTCAATGAAGCCCTCTGTGGTTACAAGTATTTGGCAATTCGTGGAGTTAGCAAATGTACATTGTGAATCAGCTGTCATTGTTAAGGATCAGTAGAGTGTCGCTTGTTTCTGGGTCTGAAAAACTGATTGGCGCTAATCACGTCTTTCCTAGCAGAATCAATGTCTGAACTCTGAAGGATCAGTGGAGTGTCGCTTGTTTCTGGTTCTGATTGGTTATTATCCGTCCAATTTGCTGTGTACCTCCAGTATGCCTAATGATGTTTAATATCATCTATATGAGGTGCTTCAAAATCGGGTTCCAGTATTTTATCTCACACTTGTGTTTTCTTGTCCAGCTAAGCTCAGGAGCCGAACCATGTGGTAGCTTGCACTTTGGAACTCGGAAGTACCGAAATGCTACAGGTGAATTTCAATGACGACTGCCATTGTCGAATATGTCAAACTCTTCTATGTGACTATGTGAGGCTTTATGTGGTAGCATTTTTGGAACCTGTCTTCAATAGTTTGTATGCCTGGTATTTGAGTATTGAACAATAACCTGGTTTTAGGTAGTTTGTCCAAAGATATTAATTCAGGCCTATTGAATTTCAATGTACGATGGTGAATTTTTTTCTTCTTCTTGATGATTTTGCACATTGATGAATTCATTTATGCATTTCTGAGCATCTTCTAATTGTTGTCCTGTTTCTTTCAAACAGTTAGCTCGAGCACCTTTCTCAGTTACTGGTTGCAAAATGGCAGAAATGTCAAGAGGACCCGAAGTAGGCTCTCTGCAACTTCACAAGAGCAGTCAGAGTATGGTGAGGTTAAACCTGAAGTGACCGATCAAGAACACTCTCTTTCTAATCCAGAATCCAAATCCATCCCCAGCACTTCATTCAGTGATGTTCAGGGAACTGGTGGAAAACCGGGTCTTGTTTCATTTAATGGACATCAATATAAACCAAAAGCTGCGGTTTCTGCCTCTAGCTCTACACAAAACAATCAGAGCAGCCTATTGTGGTTCCTTGGTCCAGCTGTCCTTGTGGCTTCGTTCATTTTCCCTTCTATCTATTTGCGCAGAGTACTCTCCATAATATTCGAGGACTCTTTGCTCACAGGTATACTCGTTTCTGTTGATGAGGTGATCTAATAATTCGCTTTTTTCAGTTTGCTTCCATTGAAAAGTAAAAGGAGCGTGGCCATTTCTGTCGGTTCCATCTTTGGATACCATGGAGGATGAGATGCCTGGATGAAAGAATTTTTATTTGCTTGGTGGTTAAGTGATGTTCTTAGGATTACTTTAATTGTGTAGTTGCATGGATGTTGGATATCATTTGTTCTTTATGTCAATTTCCCAGTATGCTATTTTATTCCATACAATCTGACTAAGGTGAAATAGGAAATGAGAAGCACAGTACCTTCTGATAAGGTCTAAATTTGATAGATGATATATGATATTGGTCATTAACTTGAAGAGTGATACTCTGGTTATTTAGAGGATGGTAGCTAGAGAATTTTACGGAGGAAACAATGCTTTTGCTCAGAGATTATAGCCTAGTTTAGTGGCGTATTGAAATATATTGCTCAGAGATAAAGGGCAGTACTTATTGGCAGTTCTCATTCCTTCTCCATGAAGGTTTAACTCACCATTAGTTGCACAAAGTTGACTTCTTTCTCTTTCCTAGTTCCCTTGTTTACTGTTTCAGGGTCTCATGAAAAGAACGGGTTTGCCCTTTATTTGCAGATTTCCTCATACTGTTTTTCACAGAAGCGATCTTCTACTGCGGTGTCGCTGTTTTCCTTCTGCTGATTGACCGTTTGAGAAGGCCTGATGATGAATCAGAATCCCATCCAAGCAATCAAATCACAGTCTCTCCTCCTCAGTTGGCCCACAGAATATCCTCTGTTGCTACGTTGGTTCTGAGTCTTATAGTTCCTATGGTGACCATGGGTTTGGTCTGGCCATGGACTGGTCCTGCTGCTTCTGCCACTCTCGCACCATATTTAGTTGGCATTGTTGTCCAGTTTGCATTCGAACAGTATGCTAGATCTAGAAAGTCACCTTCCTGGCCAGTGATTCCTATAATTTTTCAGGTAAGGATAGCTGCGCCAATTTCTGGTGCTCTATTTTTAGGACTTATGTTGTCTTTGAGCAGCTGCATTGTCACATACTTGTCTGTCCCTTAGTGGAACTTCAGTCCGTTCGGCTAGTAACCATATATCCTGCTTATTGTCAGCTTTATCGACTGCATCAACTGAATAGGGCTGCCCAACTGGTGACTGCTCTCTCATACACAGTGAAAGCGGCCGAGATGACCACACATAACTTGGAGATAAGCAGCTCCCTTGGGACACTTTTGAATGTTCTGCAATTCCTTGGAGTCATCTGCATTTGGTCTCTGTCAAGCTTCCTCATGAGGTTTTTCCCATCGGACGTGCGAAAGGTGGCACCCTGATGGCAGAACAACGTCAGCTGGCAACCTGCGTTCTTCATTTGGTCTTATGATTCCACTGATTGAATGCAGTTGCCCCATCTAACTCTCCTATGTTATGGTATTAACGTTGACAATTTTGATAACCCAGCTGGAAGTAAAGCTTTAAACTTTTTAGTAAAAGAAGACACCAGGATGAGTTCATGCTGATGCAGACATGCTCTTTTTGCTGTATTGGGCTACTGCTTCCTGTTTCTGATCTTTTGTTAGGATGACACATACACCACGACAGGTTTGTAAACCAAACAATTATTCGTTCGTTCTTCATCTTCCTGACAAGTTCGTGAATTCTTTTTTCTGAGAAGCCATCTATAGCTAGAGATGTTTGGAATAGAAATAAGAGTGACTTTCTGGTTGAAGGCATTACAGAAGTCAACAGCTATTGGTAGCATGTATGGACCATTTCCCTCATCTTCAACCCTGTACTTTGGCCACAATATCCTCAACCAAAAAGGCTACCACCTTTTTTGTCTACATGCTGCTACCATGCTTGAGAATGTTCATCTGCTCACATCTATTTTCTCTTCACCTTGGGGGTTGGAATTTAGTTGTTATGTAGAAAGGTGGGGATATGATGATGTTGTAGCTGGATTGTTATCGACTCATTTGTTGATGATGCAATTTAAAAGTAGTGATCAAGTAGGAGGCTCATACCAATATAGTAGCATTTTGATAGAAACTTGCTATGGTTAATATTGTTATAAATATTTGCTATTAGGGATAAATGTTGAGATTTTGTATTACTAGGATTTAATTACTGGTTTATTAAGTTATTCGCTATGTCTCGGTTTAGGATTAGAATTTAGGGTATTTCCTATAAATACGTACGTTGTTATTCCTTTACGATTATTAAGCATAATAATGAGAAAAGTATCTCCACGCCTTAATCTCGCTATCCTTTGAAATCTCATCTCTTTCGCCGACCACTTTTCAGATTTTTTCCCAGTTCAATTCTCAACCCCTAATCCCCAATTATGTTCCTTCTATCCTAAACCCTATTTTCTCTCAAATTCCTAAATCTCTTTTATTCAATCCGGTCACGAGTAACTGTGGGTGCCTAATATCCATGTTTCTATCACAGTTTCGCTAACAAACTAATTGTTAGTGTTGTGGTATATGATCCACGATTAAACATCTCCCAGCAACTCGAGTTATTGGATCAATTGGTTTTTGACATGGTATCAGAGCCTTCTGTGACCGAGAGGTCTTGTGTTCGATTCCCGGTGACCCCCATTTGTTAAACACATGGTATTCTTGTCTTCAGACCTGTGCAAACTTCAAGCCCTTGTGAGTGGCTTTCGTTTGAGGGGACGTGTTAGTGTTGTGGTATATGATCCACGATCGAACATCTCCCAACAACTCGAGTTATTGGAATCAATTGGTTCTTGACACTAACGACTAGACGCGTACATGAAAATTGAAAGGCGATCCAAGGATCTCACAACGCGGATGGGTTTCTCAATCTCAGCTACTTATCTATTTGGTCTACTACTGATGACTTCCCAGGCAAGGAAACTAATTCCTGAGGGTTGAAATATTGACATTCTGGTCTACATAATGTAAGCTAAAATGGAGATATGTGTGGGTGGATCAATATTTCAATATTCTATGTTGAGATGCTTTATCCTTTCCTCCCCATGCATAGAATATTATTGAAAGTTTGCATTGATTTCATCACCTTGCACTTCAATTATGTACCTTCTCCTTTGGAATGTTCCCTTTTAGTCAGACTTTTGGAATGAAATGGTCAAATTATTGAGCATGGTAGTCCAATCCCTAACCCTAATTATATATCTGCCAATTTCGATAACTACCCTTTTCTTAATTCATTGCTGTTTTGTCCTGTGAGTTGAGCTTTTGATTGCTTGGCAGCTCTTAGCTTTGGCCCTCTGTCGCCTGTGAAATTTGTCTCCTTTCTCCTCAAATTTGTGTTTTTCTTGTAATACACGTCTGGTAATAACATAATGGGTAGATAGGAAAAAGTAGAGTTGCAAGTTGGTATATGAACGTTCTTGTCAATCAAATTCTGCAGAAAGAGATCGAGTAGAGAATAATGGTGATGTTATTGACTTAACATCTCAACAAATGCAAGTGGGAGAGAAGTTTCAAGCTCTTGCTTGAAGGGCTAATTAGCAATAAATCGTATCGGAATTTGTACCGAAAACGTTAATGAGAATATTTTATTCTGAAATTGTGGTTCACGCGTTTCATGTTACCGCTAACTGATAGGAGAGTTTTCTCGTCAAACCGCTGATACGGTACAGTTTTTCAATTTACTCATTAGTAATATGATATTTTGGACCTAACATATCTTAAGTGGATGGTGAATTTTTTTATCACTCAAACTTACATCGTTCCACCCTCTATTTGTCTAAATTCTCTCTATGTTTGCTTATAGGTCTCTGTATCTCAAATAATTTAGTTTCAGTAGTGTAATTCAGTCTCTCCCTATTTAATTTCATAAGTGTTTTTCCATTATTTTAATACAAAATCATGGTTTTCAATATGATTTTTTTGGATCACATGTTAGAATGAGTAGACTTTTAGAACAAAATTACTCTACCTTAGCCGTGTCATACTCGTTCTGCTTAGTAATGACAATGTTGTAGGTCGGGGCGGTATCTCAATATCCTTACCCACCCCGGGTATCTATTTTACAACTGTATTGTAATTAAAATTTGAGGTAATAAATAAATAAAATACTAAGTAATTTACGTAAAATTATATAATAATTTAAACAATAACGATTGAGAACGGATGAGGTCAGAGACATTATCCACTCACCCCATCCCGTCTCAAAACAATTCAAACAGGTCAGATAGAACGGATTATGTTGAAATTATCATCCCTAATCCTGCTTTGTGCCATACCAATAAAGGCTAGTAAAGGGTCTGGGAGAGCACATTTTGACAGGAACAAATGGTGCATGCTCTTGATGGAAACATTTATCCTTGAGACACCCTGAGATCCTAAGCAAAGGTGGGTGACAATGAAGTGAAAGGAACCCATGCCATGCCATGCCATGCCAGATGCCACCATCCCCCACTGAATTCTATGCTGAAACACTTTCCACATTTGTTTATGGTTTCCTTCAACTTTTTTCCATCAGGGAGGAGGTGAAGTTGTCTTGTCATTTTGTGTTTGGTTCCTTCTTCAGGAGAATCATCTCATATCAGTATGTTATCAAGATGGGGCTTAGAGAAAATGAATTCTCTTCCCTTATATTAATCTCATATTATCATCAAGTTTTGTCCTTGGAATGTCTCTGTACTACCAAACCTCACATGTTGTTAGAAGTTATTTACCATCATCCCCAAGTTTGTTCTTCTTGCTCTCTTTGTGTCTTCTTCCCCTATTAAATTTGGTATTAGGTGGTGGTAAGTGACATTGATGTGAAAGCCAAGATACCAACTTTCTGAAAGATTTGGGGAATTGGGGAATGCCCATTTTATCAACTCAACCTCCCACATGATTGTGTTGAAGAAACCCATCGTATTGGCCAGCCAGATTGGAAATACAGAGTATTGGACCTAAATCGGTAGGAGATTCTAGAGGTAGAAAACGGTTGAAATAAACTACAATTTTAATATAAATACTCTATTGATTTGCATTTGAAATTTGGATACATGAAAGCCAGCCCCCAAATAGTTAGTGCACAAGAGCATCATGAAACAAAGCCATTAGCCGCAAAGCAACTGTAGCACCCATCCACTTGTAGCCATTAAGGCACAAGATGGAATGAACCTGGCTAGTAGCTGGTCCATCAAAGAAATTTTGGGTTACCTCTAGCTTGACTCTTCTGGTTTACTAAAAATTTCAGCTTTCTTCTGGTTCTTTCTTTACATAACGGGTTTGTGCCTATTTATCAATGTTATCAGGTTGACTTTAGGTTTGGTGTAACTATCTGAATCTTGTCTAAAGTCAAAGCTCTACTTAATCATTTGGATGAACCCTAATTGTCCCTCTCTCTATCTGCATAAAAACTGTCTGTTAGTTAATGTGAACATGAGAACCCCCACTCAATGCAAAGTTATGCTAATGAAAGGGGCAATCTCTTCTTGTACCATACAATGACTAGAGAGAGAGAGAGAGAGAGAGAGAGAGAGAGAGAGAAGTCACCTTTAGGTTGAGTGTCCATCCAACACAATTCCCATAACTTTTATCTTATCTGCTAAACATTCTGATCCCAACTCCCATAATTCCCTGCAGAGAATAAGGTGGCCAGCCTTTTCAGCAGAAACTGAGAATGAAAAAAGAAAAGAAAGAAGGAAAGGTTCCAACAACTACTGATTTATCCATGTTCAACTTTTCTCCACTGATAATGATTTTATGCAGGCCCTCCTTCAACTGAACTATATAAACCAACTCGTGTGTCATTTTTCCAGTACCTCCAAAACCTCGTATTCTCTCATCTCATTCCTTCCTCCCTTGTCATCCCACTTCTTCTTGTTCCCTCGCTTCCTTTTCCCAAGCACAGGGAAGAAGACAATGAGCCATATTTGAAGCTAAAGATAACATCTTTCTTATGAAACTCGATATGGGTACCATCCAAATCACGCTAATCATTCTGTTTATGTCCGTAATCCATGCTGTTGCAGCAGCAGCTTCAACACCCTCCCTCGAGCTACTGAGAGTCAAGTCAGAGTTGGTTGATCCCACGGGAGTTCTCCACAGTTGGTCTCCAGAATCTCACTTCTGCAGGTGGAATGGAGTCGAGTGTTCAGAAGATCAAACCCAAGTTATAGCCCTGAATCTATCAGACTCCGGATTATCAGGTTCCATCTCGGCGGAGCTTTGGAATCTCACTTCACTAGAAACGCTCGATTTGTCATCAAATTTCCTGAACGGCTCGATCCCTGTCGAGATAGGAAAGCTTCAGAGTCTAACAGCACTCCTCCTCCACTCCAACTACCTCTCTGGTGAAATTCCTCAAGAGATTTCCCGTCTGAAGAAGTTGCAGGTTTTGAGAATCGGAAACAACATGTTAACTGGGGTGATCACGCCGAGAATCGGTGAGTTAACCGAGTTGAGAGTCCTGGGCTTGGGCTACTGCCAGCTAAACGGGAGTATTCCGAAAGAGCTTGGGAATCTGAAGCAAATGGAATCTCTTTTCCTGGAAGAGAATCAACTCCAAGGTCCCATCCCAGAAGAAATTCGTGGCTGCAAAAACCTTCAGACTTTCGTGGCATCAAACAACAGGCTTGAAGGAACCATACCAGCTTCATTAGGGAGCCTTCCATCGCTGGAAATACTCAACTTGGCAAACAACAGCCTCTCGGGTTCAATTCCTACTGATTTAAGCCATCTCTCTAGCTTGCAGCACCTCAACTTGTTAGGGAACCAACTGAATGGTTCGATTCCAGCTGAGCTTAACCAGTTGGGTCAACTCCAGTGGGTTGACTTATCATTCAACAGGCTTTCAGGAAGCATAACACTGCTAAGTAGCCAGCTGCACAATCTTGAAGCATTGGTTCTTTCAGGTAATGACTTGAAAGGCAGCAATGTCATTCCTAGCAATTTCTGCAGCAGCAGTCAGTCCAAGCTCCAAAAGCTCTTCCTCGCTCAAAATGATCTCTCCGGTACCTTCCCTTTGGAGATACTGAATTGTCTCTCCCTCCAACAACTAGACCTCTCAGAAAACAACTATGATGGAGATCTTCCTTCCGCCATTGGAAAGCTGCAGAACCTCACCGATCTTTTTCTGCAGAACAACAGCTTCAGTGGACAGATACCTTCAGAAATTGGAAACTTAACCCAGTTGGAGAATCTCTACATGTTTGACAATGCAATCAGAGGGAATCTTCCACCAGAAATCGGGAGACTTCATCAGTTAACCAACATTTATCTCTATGACAACCAGATTTCAGGAGAGATCCCCAGGGAGCTGACGAACTGCACAAAGCTGACAGATATCGATTTCTTCGGTAACCATTTCACTGGTCCCATTCCTGAGACTATCGGCAAGCTGAAGAATCTCGTTATGCTTCAACTGAGGCAGAATGGCTTGTCGGGTCCAATCCCACCAAGTTTGGGGTACTGCAGAAGCCTGGAGATATTGGCATTGGCAGATAACAAACTTTCAGGAACTTTGCCACCAACGTTCAGATTCCTTTCGAAGCTCTTCAAAGTAACTCTTTACAATAACTCCTTTCAGGGTCCTCTCCCTTCATCTCTTTCACAATTGAAAAACCTCCAGATCATAAACTTCTGCCACAACAGGTTCAATGGCAGCATTTCTCCTCTCTTGGGATCAAGCTCTCTTTCTGCCTTGGACTTAACCAACAATAGCTTCTCAGGACCAATCCCTTCCATGCTAGCTTCGTCAATAAACCTGACCCGTCTTCGCCTGGCACACAATCAGCTCACTGGAACTATCCCTCCTGAATTTGGCCAACTCACCAATCTCCAGTTCCTCGATTTGTCCTTCAACAATCTCACAGGCGAACTGAGTGAAGCTCAATTCTCAAGGTTCAAAAAGCTTCAACATTTCCTGCTGAGCAATAACCAGCTCACAGGGATAATGCCTTCCTGGCTGGGCACCTTGGAAGAACTCGGAGAGCTCGATCTCTCATCCAACAACCTCCACGGCGACATACCGAAATCCCTCGGCAACTGCTCAAACCTACTCAAGCTCTCTCTCCACGGGAACATCCTCACAGGTTCAATTCCAGAGGAGCTCGGCAACCTCACCTCTCTCAACGTCCTCAATCTCCAGCGAAACAACATTTCAGGCACTATCCCTAAAACGATCGAAAACTGCAGGAAGCTGTTCGAGCTTAGGGTTTCCGAAAACTCTCTCACCGGTTCGATTCCAGACGAGATAGGGAAACTTACCGAGCTGCAAGTGATACTAGATCTCAGCCACAACTCCTTCTCCGGCGAAATCCCGACATCCCTCGGAAACCTAATTAAGCTGGAGAGGCTGAATTTGTCGTGCAACCATCTCCAGGGAAAGATACCCAGCTCGCTCGCCAAGCTCACCAGCCTCCACAGGCTGAACCTGTCGAACAACGACCTCCGAGGACGAATTCCGGAGACGTTCTCCGGTTTCCCCGTCAGTTCGTTTCAGGGGAACTCCCCGGAGGGGTTGTGTGGTCGGCCGATGGAGGTGTGCTTGAGATCAGGAGGGAAGAAGGGGATGTCGAATGCTGCAGTGGTGGGGATAATCGCGGTGATTGTTTTCTCGTCGACGGTGATTTGCTTGGTGATGGTGTATATAATGGTGAGAATGTGGTGCCACTGGAGGGAAGTCGCGATATCCTCCACCGTGGACGGCGGCGGTGGAGCGGGAAGAGAGCAGAGGAGAGAAATGAGGGGAAGGAAAGGTGGTGATGATCAGTTCTGGAAATTGAGCCAACTGGTTCAGTGAAAGATACTGCTCTGATGATCGTTTGATCAGTTCTTTCTGCAATTCCTCATCGGTGTTCATTAGCGCAGAAGTTATTCTGCTAACAGGCCAAACAGTTAGCAGATACTAACAGGGCAGGATGAAGGGCCACGTCGGCCCATGTTTGATCCAACGGAGGAGCTCTCGGCTGGGAGGTGGCTCACTTAAGTGAGCTGAAGGTGGGCCAACAAGCAAAATCCGGCCAAAATCCGGCCCAGCGTGCGGCGGGCAGCGGAGCTGAGCAAGTGGCGTGGTGGGCTCGGCTTGATTTTGGGCGGGAGAATGGAGAGGAGTGGAAAGAGAGCCAAATTTTATGGGCCCATGTTAGTATTATGTATGTGTTGTTTGTGTGGATATTTATTTGTTCTCAGTTGATATTAATTTATGTTATGTTGATATTGCTTTGTATCATTGTTGAAATTTTGGGCCGTATTATTCCTTTGCAAAACAATATCCTACACACTATCAAGTCCTAACACGTAAGGCTTGCAACCTTAGTTAGGGCTGCCCGCCGAGGGCCCATGGGCCGAAGGCCCATTAAATAATATTAGTTTTTATTGACGAGCGGTTTATTTTTTAGGGTTGATTGTTTAGGTTTGGTTTATGGTTTACGGTTTACGGTATAGAGGTTAGGGTTAAGGTTTCAACATAAGGGTTTGGGTTCTCTTTAGGGTTTAGGGTTTTGTCTGGTTAGTATGAATATCTATTATTTCCTAATTATATTGTTTTTAGAGTTTATTTAGTAGTGTTGATTGTTTAGGGTTTAGGGTTCAGTGTTTAGGGTTTAGAGTTTAGGGTGATAGAGTTTATTTGAACCCGAGGAAACATTCCCTTAGTTCATGTGTTTGGAAATTTTTGTGGAACCTTTGAATATTATCAGCTTGGGAAAACAATAATAGTTTTATTTTTTTAGTGTTTAGTGATTAGGGTGATAGAGTTTAAACTTTAGGGTTTAGGGTTAGGGTACAAATAATAGATATTAGTTTGTGTGTTGTGGATACTTGTCTTTCCTAGTTGTAATACTTTTTCTGACATTCTGATATTTGTTCAAAATATTATGATTTTGTTCCGGGTTGTGTGGGTATTTATTTGAACCCGAGGAAATATTCCTTTAGTTCATGTGTTTGGATATTTTTCTGGAACCTTTGAATATTATCAGCTTGGGAAAACAATAATAGTTTTATTTTTTTATAGTTTAGTGATTAGGGTGATAGAGTTTAGGGTTTAGGGTACAAATAGTAGATATTAGTTTGTGTGTTGTAGATACTTGTCTTTCCTAGTTGTAATACTTGTTTGTGACATACTGATATTTATTCCAAATATTATGATTTGTTTCCGGGCTGTGCAGATATTTATTTGAACCTGAGGAAACATTCCCTTAGTTCATGTGTTTGGATATTTTTGTGGAACCTTTGAATATTCTCAGCTTGGGAAAACAATAATAGTTTTATTTTTTTAGTGTTTAGTGATTAGGGTGATAGAGTTTAAAGTTTAGGGTTTAGGGTACAAATAGTAGATATTAGTTTGTGTGTTGTGGATACTTGTCTTTCCTAGTTGTAATACTTGTTTCTGACATTATGATATTTATACAAAATATTATGATGTTTTTCCGGGTTGTGTGGATATTTATTTGAACCCGAGGAAATATTCCTTTAGTTCATGTGTTTGGATATTTTTCTGGGTTGTCTGGGTATTTGTCTGAGTTATCTGGATATTTTTCTGGGTTGCTGGATATGTGTCTGGGTTGTCTGGATATTTTTCTGGGTTGTCTGGATATTTGTCTGGGTTGTATGAATACTTGTCTTTCCTAGTCATAATACATGTTTCTCACATACTAATATTTATTCAAAATATTTTGATTTGTTTCCTGGTTGTGTGGATATTTATTTGAACCTGATGAAATATTCCCTTAGTTCATGTGTTTGGATATTTGAATTGAATCTGAGGAAATATTAACTTAGTTCATGTGTTTGGATATTTGTGTGGAACCTTAGAATATTCTCGGATTGAGCACATCTTGATAGTTTTATTGTTTTAGTGTTTAGTGATTAGGGTGATAGAGTTTAAAGTTTAGGGTTTAGGGTTTAGGGTTTAGGGTTAGGGTTTAGGGTTAGGGTTTAAGGTTAGGGTTAGGGTTAGGGTACAAATAGTGGATATTAGTTTGTGTGTTGTGGATATTAGGGTTAGGGTTCAGGGTTCAGGGTTAGGGTTTAAGGTTAGGGTTTAGGGTTAGGGTTTAAGGTTAGGGTTAGGGTTTAGGGTTTAGGGTTAGGGTACAAATAGTGGATATTAGTTTGTGTGTTGTGGATACTTGTTTTTTCTAGTTGTAATACTTTTTACTAACAAAAATTTTGGCATAAGTTGTAATACTTGTGTGGATATTTTGGCATAAGTTCCAAAAATCATCTTACTGATCTTTTCTACTACGTCGACAGCGAGGCCAAGTTTGATGAGGGTTTAGAGTTCTGGTTTTCAATTTGTGAAAGATTGGAATATTGTGTCTTACATCAAATTAAACACACTAGCAAGTCCTACACACTATCAAGTCCTAACACGTAAGGCTTGCAACCTTAGTTAGGGCTGCCCGCCGAGGGCCCATGGGCCGAAGGCCCATTAAATAATATTAGTTTTTATTGTTTATAGTTTATTTTTTAGGGTTGATTGTTTAGGTTTGGTTTATGGTTTACGGTTTACGGTATAGAGGTTAGGGTTAATGTTTCAACATAAGGGTTTGGGTTCTCTTTAGGGTTTAAGATTTAGTCTGGTCAGTATAAATATCTATTCTTTCCTAATTATATTGTTTTTAGAGTTTATTTAGTAGTGTTCATTGTTTAGGGTTTAGGGTTAAGGGTTTAGGGTTTAGAGTTTAGGGTGATAGAGTTTATTTGAATCTGCGGATATTTAGCCGGGTTGTGCGGATATTTATTTGAACCTGAGGAAACATTCCCTTAGTTCATGTGTTTTATTTTTTTAGTGTTTAGTGATTAGGGTGATAGAGTTTAAAGTTTAGGGTTTAGGGTTAGGGTACAAATAATAGATATTAGTTTGTGCGTTGTGGATACTTGTTTTGGCTAGTTGTAATACTTGTTTCTGATATACAGATAGTAGATATTAGTTTGTGTGTTGTGGATACTTGTCTTTCCTAGTGGTAATAATTGTTTCTGACATATTGATATTTATTCAAAATATTGTGATTTTTTTCCGGGTTGTGTGGATATTTATTTGAAACTGATGAAATATTCTCTTAGTTCATGTGTTTGGATATTTGTGTGGAACCTTTGAATATTCTCAGCTTGGAAAAACAATAATAGTTTTATTTTTTTAGTGTTTTATTGATTAGGGTGATAGAGTTTAAAGTTTAGGGTTTAGGTTTTAGGGTTAGGGTACAAATATTAGATATTAGTTTGTGTGTTGTGGATACTTGTGTTTCCTAGTTGTAATACTTGTTTCTGACATACTGATATTTATTCAAAATATTTTGATTTGTTTCCGGGTTGTGTGGATATTTATTTGAGCCCGATGAAATATTCCCTTAGTTCATGTGTTTGGATATTTTTCTGGAACCTTTGAATATTATCAGCTTGGGAAAACAAAAATATTTTTATTTTTTTATAGTTTAGTGATTAGGGTGATAGAGTTTAAAGTTTAGGGTTAGGGTACAAATAGTGGATATTTGTTTGTGTGTTGTGGATATTTTTTGAAAAGATTTTAATACTTTTTACTAAGGAACTGATAGTTATTTTAAATAATTTGTCTGGGTTGTCTGGATATTTGTCCGGGTTGTCTTGGTATTTGTCTGGGTTGTCTGGATATTTAATTGAATCTGAGCATAATGGTTTCAGATTGTTTTCCCCGTAGTGAAACAACTGAAATGACAGGTACACCACGGATTCAACACAAAATACTCTACCACTAACTTTTTGGTACTGTTTTATCGTTCTTGGTCATACATACAAATCCAAGTTCCCCGTGAAAGTTGAAACCATTGCTTAATTACTAATTACTAGGATGAGTTCGTACTACATCACACATGCAAATCCAAATGAAATTCACAACTTCTGGAATAGCAGGCTGCCTTGTTTTTTCTCCTTGACGAGATCTCGATGCAACCATTTTCGCTCTCTTCATCCCGGGTTGTTCCTGAAACACAGTTATATATTAAGCAAAATATCCATAATCCTTGGACAAATAACTAAAACGCACACTTATATACAATACAATTATCGTAGTAAAGCAAAAGTGTATCCAAACGGAGATAACTGATATCCATGAAAAAAATATCCATAATACCCAGAAAAATAACTAAAACGAACATTTAAGTATCCACATTAACCGAACTGATATCCACACATCAGACACATCAGTTTATTTTTTTTGCAAATACATACAATTATTATCGTAGTAAAGCAAAAGTGTATCCAAACGAAGATAACTGATATCCATGAAAAAATATCCATAATACCCAGAAAAATAACTAAAACGAACATTTAAGTATCCATATTAACCGAACTGATATCCACACATCAGATACATCAGTTTATTTTTTTTGCAAATACATACAATTATTATCGTAGTAAAGCAAAAGTGTATCCAAACGGAAATAACTGATATCCATGAAAAAATATACATAATACCCAGAAAAATAACTAAAACGAACATTTAAGTATCCGCATTAACCGAACTGATATCCACACATCAGACACATCAGTTTATTTTTTTTTGCAAATACATACAATTATTATCGTAGTAAAGCAAAAGTGTATCCAAACGGAGATAACTGATATCCATGAAAAAATATCCATAATACCCAGAAAAATAACTAAAACGAACAGATAGGTATCCACATTAACAGAAGTGATATCCACACATCAAACACATCAGTTTATTTTTTTTAGCCAATATAACTAATCGAGAAACGAAGTGAGAAAATAGCTAATATCATTGAACTAATATCCATCATGGCATAAAAATATCCAGACCTA